GGGGGGGGGGGGGAGTAATGCATAGCTCTTAATGCTGTATTCTTTTAATTTTGTATTGGTTTTTTTTCTACTTCTTTAGAGAAAAGCAAGTGAGGTACATTAGTGATATGTTTCTACTCCAAGAGGAGGCTATGGGGTCCATCATATTATTTTAGAGAGTTGTACACTTCTATTGTATGGGGGGGGGGGGGATTTTCAGCAGCCGGATTGTCAAAACTTTAACTGGCTGTCGACAAGATAAAACAAGACATAGCCCCATCTGCTCTGTGTAATATATCGATTTTTGATTCTTGTCATGCCGACATTTTCAACAATCAGGCTGCTGGTTTAGTATTAAAACTTAATATAAGAATCATCATGACAGTTTGTCCGTCGCCTTTCAAAAGTGGGTAAACATAAACTTATTCCGCAGCACTCTTTTGAGATTTATAGGTTGTCAAGGTTGATAGTGAGCTAAAATTCAGTGATGTCATTAGTTGGCTGCACACTTGATTTATCATCAAATTAAGCCACAGTGTATCATAAAAAGGGAACTTACACTTCTCTTTGTGCCATTTACGTTCAACTTAGTCTTATCATGCCTTCCTCCTTTTTAGCGGAATTTCTATCAATAATGTCCTAATCATTGTCCTTGTCAAAAGTGACCTTCACCAAACGCAATAACTCTGTAGTTGCACTTCGTTTAATGCACCGAATCACCAAGACATTTTAGCAAATGAAGCACTTGAACCATGAATACGAAGGGGAGCATTTCGTGTATGTGATGCCAAAGCATGATCTGTCTCCTAGGGACGACTGCTGTGTCTTGCGCACGTTTATATGTGGTGCTTACACCCAAGGAATGCCATGCACTCATAGACCACTTTGTCAGCTGTACGGTGTTGAATACAGAATGCGTGTCTCAGAGCATTTGATGTATATCATTAGATACTATTGTACAAAATTTCCAGCCAACCAGGTCCTTCAAAAATGAAATATTCAGGCATAATTTTGTAGAATTACAGAATTTTTTTCTAGGTAAAATTAGTACAAACCAATTTGATTCTTTCTTAGATTAAAAAAAATGGATAAGTAAATAAAAATTTATTCACTTCTCCACATCTGAGCAATAGTTAGCGTTTAAAAATTGAATTTTTTACAAAGACCCAAATCAAGAAGGACTAATGTGAAGGTTTGAAATTTTCTAATTTAGCAGATAGGTAAGTAGGATTGATCAAGCAGAATCTTGTAATCTATTGGCGAAATTTGAATTTACCTAATGTAATGTAGGACTTGCTAAAACAAGAAAATACTAGGATTCTGTCAGGAACTAAAAATCTCCATTTTGCTTTGAAATTTGGGGGCGCTTAAGATTTAGCCAAATGATGAAGAAATCGATATTTTTCCTCTAATCTCCAGCAAGAATATTTCGAGTATCAAGAGAAAATGGGAGTGAATCTAGGCTTTTACCATAGAACTTATCCTTAAAGTATTCTGGAAATATCTTAGAATGGTAATATTTAAGTGATCAAGACACCTTGTTCTAGCGTTTCGAAGTTTTAATACTCATCGCAAAATTGATTTGTTTTTACCGTAATGCCCAATTTTTTTTGCTCAGGAGTGTGATGTTGTCATCATCCTGCCACCACATTCAGAGGATGCAGTACTCATGTGGCTGTTAACGAAACTACGGGCTCCATCATTGGGTCTGATAGTCCATGTCAAGCTCCACTCATCTACAGAATCTTACTCATTGTATCTTACAGCCCCTTATACTGTGTAAGTATATTTTGTCATTTATCTTCAATCGTTTCCTCATACGGAGAAATATTTACAAGCTTAAAGTTTTAAAAGAAGAAAATGAGTTCAAAATTATTTTTATTATGATCCTGAATTTCATGAGGAAGAATTTCATTTTCCGGTCAAAAGGAAAGTGTAATAGATACTGGTCAGTTTGACTTCAAGCCTAGAGTCCATGCCAAATAAGTCTACACACTTTAAGACTGTTACAGGAGATCATGTAATGTCAGTTTAGCGCTGAAAGTAAATTCAAGAATTAAGACGGCGGATCTTCTGCGTAAACTTATCTGGCTAGGATTCCAGAAAAGCTGAGGCATTCTTTTGTTGAAACCTTTGCACGGATATTATATTTGAATCCTGCTAATTCAAAAGGAATGACCTCTCTGTTTTTCCATATCAGGAGTGTAGAAAAATCCTTTTAATTTTTTCATCGAGCAGTCATAAGAAGGCCGTAGGGATCAGGAAGTTTCTGCACCCATATTACTCATGACAGACTTCATTTAATTCTAGTTTCTCCTTCCTATCGGTTTTAACACTTACTTTGATTACGATTTTCCAGTCCATTGTTGAGTTGAGCTTTTACTGTCCTGTATTCAGTTTATTCGGAATTTTCTTTCTTTTCCCTCTCTTAACTTTGTCTTTTTATTTTCCACATGTGTCTGGTGTAAATACTTAGATTTTTCCACCATTTTTTTTGGAAAATAAAACCAATAACTCAATTTTTAAAAACATATCTCAGTCAGCATTTTAAACTTCCCAGCTTAAGTAATTAATTTTTTAGAAAGAAGAATCCACACATATGACTTGAAGTTTTCTTGGGAGGCTCTTACTGAGCAAAGAGGTCTCATAGAATTTTTTGAAAATTGAAGTTTCGTTTTCTGATAAAAAATGTATGGTGAGGTATTTATAGTGTTGCGAACTAAGGTCCATGTTTTCAAAGTCCAGTCACCAAAATATATGTTCCTTGAAAAAGGACAAAAAACCAAAATTTAAAACTGGACATTGAAGCCATTGAAGAATCAATGATGAGTTTAGGTACCAAAGTTTAATAACTAATAAGGTCAGTATTGCCGTTAGAGAACTTCAAAATTACGAATTTTTGACCTTTACCGCCCATCCAATGTTCATAAAATTTAACATTAAATCTCTCAAAGGAAGAAATTCAATTTTTAAAAGTGTCTGAATGCGTAATTTAGTAAAAAATTAGCTCCCAAATACGCAGAAATGCTTAGCTATGCATGCTAGAGCAACAATCGAATTGATGCTGCTTTGTGTTTCTCATGAACTTCTAAAATATGAACGGGGATTTTATAAAATCATTAAGTATCCAAGGAATCATCTGTGCTTCTCTCTGTGTTATCAGCTTGTTAAAATATGCAGAAGAGTTACACTTGCCCAAACGTCTACGTCAAGAAGTTGGAGGCGGGTTGAAAGAATTTACTCAATCCGAGGCTAATTCGTTTGAAGGCACTGAAAACGAGGGATCTTTTTTCACAACACAAGAAAGACAGTGGCTTGTATTTCATCTACTTCAAACAATCAGAGCAAGTGCCGATGAGGATATCGGCAAAACAAAATTTATTGTTGGGCAAGCCATAAGTAAGTCCATTGCCTTTTCATCTTACAAGTTTTGCGGACTCAATTAACCATTATTATAATAAAAAACTCGTTGAAAGAAACAGGCATTCTTTGAATGAAACATGTTGAAAGCAAAACCTGCCGTGTCCATTCAAACGTTTCTTTGGTTTTTTTGGAGGAGGATCAACAGTGATCTGTGCATGTGTAGACTGTTTTAGAGTTGTAGGGAGGTCTGAACAATCCTGAAAAAGTTTGAAAATTTTTAAATATGTCACACTAGTTTGCACTAATATCTGCCTTGCTTATCGATAGTGAAACTGAATAAACGCAAATCTCGGTTTGCAATATAGCAGACTTCTTATCTCAATTCAAATTTTAAATAGGAAAATATTCAGCATTGTCTCTCGAAAACTTTCCTGATCGTTCTCATGTGCATAGGAATATTCTGTAAAAATTTCAAGCAGTAGTGTTAATTTGTTCTCCTTCAGTATGATAAAATGGGAGCAGAGTTATCGAAAAACTGCAAACCAAGTTTGTCTTTTTGTAGGGTTACATATTATGTTGGTTTAGATTCTGGTCAAGATTATTACCTAATCTCCTTCCCTTTTACATACTTTGTAAGATTTTTCATACGAAAGTTCCTTTTTTGAACACCCTCTTTAAGGCAGACCCAAATTCTTCTGTAAGTGCCATCAAATTACTGTTCCGGTTTTCCTTTTTATTTCTAATCTGCTCTTTTTGTCTCTCTTTTTTTTCTTTGGATCCCAAGTTCCTAAATGTCTTTCAACGGGTATCATCTCTCAAGTTTTCCCTCTACATGACATGCCAACTTTGAAAAATCTACGGACATCTTGGGTGCAAGCATTTTTTGAAGCACAACCAATAGGTAAGAGAGCAACAATGATGTAATAATGCTTAGTGGTGAAGCTTAAATTCGAAAATTTTCATTGATTTGAGATAAATAATTAACAGAATGAAAATATTAAACAAGTAAAACATCAGCTTATTTTACGTTGCAAAAAAATGCAGGATTCATGTTTTTCTGCAACCTTATCTACACAATAATATTTTTTGACTGTATCATTGGACCACTGGAATACGTACGAATTTAAGCATTCTGATATATTTGTCCTCTTCAAAATTACACCTAAGGCATGATTTGCGCCACGAGAATTACGGACACCAACTCCTAACCAAGAAAGGAACGGTTTTATGTAGCATTGGTTGTGAAAAATTTGAATTTCCTGCTCATGAAAAAAACAAGAGTACTTGAATCAAATCGCATTGTGCATCGGTTTTGACAGGCCTTTCAATCAAGCAGTGTTCCTCCCGCACCTTTTGTTGTTCAAATAGTCAACAACATGCGATAGCTGAGCTAAAGAGCTAAGATTGAGGTTGTCACGTTTACATACTGTAGAGACTGTGACACTAATGCTTAGAGTATGATTGAAGTCAAGTAGATTATCGTTTTTCTATGAGTGGGAAGTTTGAATTTATGCATGGAAAAATGATAACCGCTTGGCTAGAAGTCACTTTCAGCAATTTTCGTTGTTAGTTCATTTTTGGTGCAAATAGTGCTCTGGTTGAAATTTTGATGAGGAAACATGTATCATAATCCTTAAATGCGCACCTTGTTTAGTGGTCGGGTAAAAGAATTATTTCATTTTCATCAGTACGTTTTGTTCCAGCAGTGCTCCTGTCATTGCGATCGTTTCAACATAATCCCCACTTACTATTCTTTATTTTATAATTAACGAACTATATTACTGCTTCTGTCAAAATCATCAGAATCTCCTACCTGATTACTTTTTTTCTCCTTTTACAGATCAAGTTTGTGAATACTTTGGTGTGAAAATAGCCATGTATTTTGCGTGGCTTGGTTACTATAATACAGCTCTAATTGTACCTGCAGTAGTCGGCTTTATATTTTGGGTAATATCTGTCTCTTTTCTCATATATCTTGTGCTTTCTAGTTTTTCTGAAAAAGCAGAGAACTTACTATAAATTGAGGCGCTGAGTACGAGAAGGGCACATCTCTGTTGCTGTGTTTTAGAATCTCTGTTGCTAATTTGTGTCTTAGAAAAGAATCAAAGGAGTGATTTTTCTGAAATTTCTCCGTAAAACATTGCAGAATTTTAAGTAACATTTAGTGAGTATGTCAATAAAATGCATGCATTCGCTTTCTTTACAAGGAATGAAATTCTTTCTAATATACCTATACAGGGAAAAAGGACACTTAATCTGAAACGTGCTTTATTTATGTTCTTTTTGAACATTAAGTTTTGTTGAAAGCTCAAGTTCCCGTTAAACCTTTATATTATTTAAACGTTTTAGAACTGAACCAGGATGTAAGCAAAATGATTACTAGTGGCCTATCATTTGCAAGTTATTTTTCTGTCTGTTCAGATTGGTCTCTTCCGAGGCGATCAAGTGCGGGAAGATATTGGATTTGTCCTGTTTTCGTTCTTCAATGTCCTCTGGTTTAGCATCTATTTTGAAGCATGGAAACGCTACAGTGCTGAGCTAGCCTACAAATGGGGTACGCTAGATCAAAGGGACGAACTCCTAATGGAGCCAAGACCTTTATTCAGGGTATGTTTCTCTTTCAATAGTTATCAGCACGCACAGGTAAAGTTGTCAAGACATTTTATTACTGTTAAATTTTGAAGAAATGAACTTGAGAAATCCTAAATTTTCCAGTGAGTGAATCTGGAATGTGGGTGAAAGAAACCGTAGTATACACGCAGTTTTTCCATCGCGTTTTTCAATGCGCAACGCTTTAGTTCATACTAAGGGCAGAAACTTACCATTTGTAAGTACAGTATTACTCTTTTTAATCTTTAGAATTCAATCATGGAAACTAAATTCTGTAACACACAGTGATCCGATGTCTAGGGATTTATCCCTAGATCTAGGGATTTTCCAGAATTTCTAGGGATCTAGGGATTTTTCAGGAAATCTAGGGACTTTTTTTAATGAGGTAAAGTAAGCAAAAATCGACTTTTCAACCTCAATTCTAGCTTCGACAATCGAAAATATTTTTTCATCTATATTTTGTAGGCATTTTTGGCAACACTATTTTCCTCGTAAATAAGCCAGAAATTAAAACGATTGCGTTACTCGATGTACTTGACATTCAACTGCATATTCAACAGTAAAAAAACAATAAGAAGAACTGAACTAATATTCTTTCATTTTATTGGTCTGGATTAGCACTGCTTTCAGAGAGCGGCAAAATTCAAACGAGCCAATCAGATTTAAATATTGCTAATCGATACATCGAATGACGTCATGATTCTACGTTAAAAATGGCGGTTTTTTTGCAAAATCTAGGGATTTTTGGGGGATATTTGAGCAAATCTGGGGATTTAGGGATTTTTAGCGAAATCTAGGGATTTTTTTTCTTCCCCGCCAGGGATTTAATATCGGAACACTGGTAACACATGCATCTACATTGTCTAATCGAAAAGTGGATACTTATTTTTTGTTTGTGAAATTGTTTTATTTTTATCTGCAAATCGAAATTTTTCACAGGGAACTCTGGAGGTGAGTCCAGTCACAGGGCGGTTAGAACCATTCTACCCGACCTGGAAAAGGAACTTGTTCCGATACCTCATTAGTGCCCCTATAATTGGTGTGTGTCTCATCATCGTATTCATCGTCATGATACTCAATTTTAAACTTCAGGTAAGTAAATTTAAAATTACTACACTTCTAATAAAAAGAGCCGGCAGAAATGGGCCTGTTGCAAACTTTTGCTAGAGCAAAACTAAGAGTTGTTTCTTACAGATAATGCCTCAAAAATCACGATGAGCGCATCTCAAATGCACGAGTCTGAAATGCACTCATAATTTCACAATCTGCGTAAGAAATTTGCGGTTTTTTGAGCTTCCCGCTTCGAAAACGATACTACGGTACAGGTGAAAATCTTGTTAGAGGAGTCGTTCCATTGGCGGCAATACTCATCATGGCCGACGCCAGTCCGCCAAAACACGTGTGATGGGACGAGATAACACCTGAACAGGATTAAACCAGATAACAATCGGCGTGTTTACGTTCATATTTTCCTCGCCCGCCTTAATTGACCTTGAACTCTCCTCGAATTACGCGAGGAACTGCGCAAGCGTCGGCCATGATGAATATTGCCGACGATGGAGCGACTCCTCTAACAAAATGTTCACCTGTGCAGTAGTATCGTTTTTGAAGCGGGAAGCTCAAAATAACGCAAATTTCTTACGCAGATTGTGAATTTATAAGTGCATTTCAGACTTTGCCGATGCGCTCATCGTGATTTTTGAGGCATTATCTATAGGAAACAACTCCTCATTCTGCTCTAGCAAAAGTTTGCAACAGGCCCATTACTGGTAACATGCTATGTTCCAATCCATTTACCAATACTTCAAAAGGAATGAAGGATGCCTGAGAAAATCATAAAATGAATTGGCCGGGGAAGTGTTGCTAAAAACTAGAAATTCCATTTCCTCCTCCTCCCTGTAGAAATGATTTTTTGAACTTGTCAGTGAACTTATTGTTTATTTATGAAATTTTATGTGAGGAAAACTGTATCACAGCCCTGCAGAAATTCCCTGTCACTGCTTATTTTTATGCATACCATTATCTCTCGTTCCCACTTTTATTATGTTTTTTATTTAATTTTCCTAGGAGTAAGTGTTTTTACTCCATGAAAGCACCTTTCAAACTCAAGAATGAGGTAATCTAATTAATTGATTTCTCAGGTATTCATATCTTGTCGTATTTCAGGACTGGTGGGACAAAGTGATAGCAGAAAAAGGTTATACATTTTACCTAAGTTATTTGCCAAAAGTACTCCTGGCAGTCATAATTTCCATTCTAGACGAAGCTTACTTCACAGTGGCAAAATGGCTGAATGATGTTGGTGAGTTTCGACAATTTCTTGTCTATCTAACAGGAGTAGTAGTAAAACACGCAGTAGTGTGCCGATCTGAAATTATGTACAAAAATCTAGATCTTAGAATGAATGTACTTGAAAGAATGCTCAAATATTACACAGCAAACTTCGGGGGGTTTCATCACTAGTATTTTCTCAATGGATTATTTTATGTGGTCTCAGAATCATGTTTTAATGCTTGATTTTTGTTGATCAGCTAAAAATACTAAGATCTGTCCAAACAGTATCTTTCTTTGTTCAATATTAAATGAAATATCGTGCTTTGAAATTTTCGGTTTATGACGTCATCCACTGCCGTAATGACGCCCTAGGTTTCTTCCTCCTTGCGTTCGTCCGAGTTTCACGTCGAGTAACCAGTGCAAATGTGTGTTTCCCTGACTGGTGAAAGCAAGGTGGAAGAAACCAAGGATGTCACTACCGCGGTGGATGACGTCATAAACCGAATTTTTCCAAGCTGATATCTTGGTTAAAATTGAAACTAGAAAGTTGATGTTTTGACAAATCTTATTATTTTTAGCTGATCTACAAGAATTGTGCATTAAAACATGATCCTGTGACCAGCACAACTGACCCATTCAGAGGTTAAACAAATAGGGTCTCGATCCCAGTCAGAAGTCGGAAAAAGAAGGAACAACTTGGGTAGGGTTACAGTGGATTATGAGAAATATAGGTTGGTTGGAGCCTAGTATTACATAAGATCTGTTTTGTAAAAGTATTGTGGTTTGTTAGTCTTTTCTCGCTAACAATTGCTGAAATCAGGCATGGGGTAGGTTGGTTTTGTGCAGCTTACATGGTTCATTATGGTGGGGAAAAAAGAGAGCAGAGGAAATAAACTAGAACAAAAGCGTTATATTAAACACTTGAACATTTCCCTAAGACACCATCCTTTTATACTTAAAAGTCCAAATTATAAATAAAATGTACAGATGTGGTTTACGTTTTTTTTAAACAATATTTTCTTTAACAGACATTAGCCCCAGAGTGAAGGGTTGAAATCCACTAGTGCTGGTTGATTCTCTCGGAAATGTTTGCTTAGAATTGCACTAATCAAGTTTCTTTTTTCATTTTCTCGTCCAGATTTTTCTAATTTATTTTTTTACATTGATGAAAAATCGGTCAATTAGTCTAAGGTTCTAAGCTTGTCATTTTTTGTTCTCTTTTTGAACGTAATGTTCCACTAGTACAATTTCAAACAATGACAAATGAAAGATGCAGTGGTGGCTGTATACTGCAATAATGGTCTAGAATGACAGGTGAACAAAACAGCATATCATAATATGCAAAAAGTTAATTTGGCTCCGAAGCAGTTGTAGATACCCTCTAAAAATTGGACTTTCCAGCTACTAATAAGTTGACAGCCACTGCTCATTCTTATATCATAGGTACCTGTAATTTTTTTTGTTTATAAATGATTTTTCAAGAAAGATTGTACTCTACTTGTTTGTCCATTTTGTTTGTTTGTTAATCTGCTTTCTCCAGAAAACTACAGACTTGAGACAAAATACGAGAACAACTTGATCATCAAAGTAGCTTTGGTTTGTATCTTCAAATCAGCTCAGAAAATCAATGGTAGCATTATGTAGTGCGTTCCACCGAATGAGCAAGAGGTTGATTTTTATGAGATCAACATCGTCACGTTTTTGTTTTGACATAATCATTGTCCGTCTGTTATACTTGACCTTCCATCCCCTCTTTTCTCTTATATTTTAATGAGTCAGTTAGTTGTTCTCAGAACATACTAAAGTGCTTCGGGTTAAATGGTATACTTAACTGTATGCAAATCCAAGTGCTTCACCTGGGAAAAACTAACAAATCACGCTTGTTTGCAAAATTACTAACACTCTGTTTACATGACTCGTGCATCAAACTGCAATCAGTTTATAGTAAAAATGCACTAATGAAAAAATAGAGAGTAATTAAAAGTTTTGCACCAGGTCAATGAAGCAGGGCCAGGCAAGCAATGAGATAACAAAAATGCGAAACTACGTATCTTGATTTGCGACGTTGCAGATTTCCTGTCATACTTTATTTTTTCTTTGAGAAGCTGGTCTCGAAAACCTCCTTGATTTTTCTGCACTGTTAGCAGAATTTGTTTTTATATTCAAGCCATAAAATTAACTTGTCCCTCTTCGAAAAAATAAAATGGGGGTGGAATTTTTGAAACACTGCAATGGAGATATGTAATTTGGCACTTCGGCTGTAGAATGATACATTGTAAACTCTAAGAGCCAAGGCATGCTTCTAATATTTTCAGTTTTATGTAAATCACTGCATCAGTTGAGCTCAGCTAATAGGTTAGTTATCTTCTTTCTGTAAAATAGTATTGCTTAAAAATACTTTAAATTGAGAGAAGGAAATTCATTTTACTGACTTACATCATAGATAATACTGATTACTCTCGCTCATTTGGTGGAATTTCTGCTTTTAGCTAACTTCTTTTACGCTCAAAACAGTCTTTTGAGCAGTTCGTCTACTAAAGCAAATCCTAAACTCTGCACTTTTTTCAATCCGTGCACAACCATTTGTACATACAGAAGACATATTATGATAAAATGCATGTGCTGTGCACCCTCTCAAAAAGTAGCTTAGTTTTTTTTAAAACCTAGATTCTATTTTTTTGTTGTAAATATTAGCAATTCTCTTAATAATATTTCTTTTTGCATGTCATTTAAGTTCATACATGTTTTAGTGGAGAAGAAGTATGTAAAAGGGAGGGTTAGAAAAGGGAAAGGTTTTCATCAGATAAGTCCAGTGTTGTACACAAATAGCTTTACTCCATCATGCCATCATAACCTCCTAATTTCACTCAAATTATCGATGTTGATGTAAAAGCGTAGTATCAAAAATTATTGGAAAGTTAAAGCTTTCAACTATTTTATGTTAGATACTCTTAAGAATAAATGGTATTTAAGCAAAAAGTTTTGAAAACATAATAAAAAAAGGTTGACATAATTTGATGAAAAGATTTGCCAATTTTGTGTTATGCACTTCAGCCAGCTCTTTCCCATCGCATTTGTTCTGAACTTTGTTCTTTTCTCTTACAGTTCCAGTTTGTGAACTCGTTTCTATCTCTATTCTACATAGCATTTTATCTGCAAGATCAAGAAAGGCTAAAAGAGGTAAGTTCCCATCTTGTCCATCCTAAAATCGCCAAAATCGTCTTTTATTGGCCAAGTATCACAAGCGCCATGTGCCATTTGTGCTTTGGCTGTATATTGCCAAGTTCCTCAAAGTTTTCCAATTTTTTACCAAAAAACTAATGAATTGAATCACTCAAAATTTTACGCGGTTTTTCTTCCGTCATGAAGGTCAATCCCTAAAGTTTTCATGAAAGTACAGTCTTAAGGATAAACAAAAACAACATCGAGATGTCTAGTAACATAGCACCTAAGCACGAATGAGGCTTGTTATGCTTTGGCCAGAAAGTGACCTATTGCTCCTCAAATTGCAAGTCCGAAAAATTTGATCGGATTTTTAATTAAATCAATTTGCATCAAACTTATCAAGAAAAGAAAAAGCATTAATGAAGGCCAATTGGATGTTTCCAACTAGAATTAGTCTCAATACATCACATGTCATCTACTTTTTTCTGATGATTCATTTTTTAAATAGAAAACGAAGTAACACTAATATTCTGCATAATCCATGGTAAATTCTCAGGAAGTTGATAGGTGCTAAGTAGTTTCGTTCTTTGTCAAAGAAATGAAATATGAGAGGAAATTAAACCACATTAAATGCAGTTCGACAGATTTGGGCTGAATTTGTCCAATTTTAGCCGTGCTTTGAAGAATTATCTGAATTTGTGTTTTATAGGTAAATAGATTGAATTTAGCAGAGAAGAATAAACAAAGTCAATATCTTAGTCAGGAGTTACTTTCAGACATTCTTCTTGCACAAATTGTTTTTACAAATTAGCACTGTGTCTAGCTGCCTATCGATTGCGACAAATTGCAACTACAAGGTCGAATTGTTGTAATTTCACAGCAGGTTGCATAAAAATTATTCTTACTGCAATCTTTAAAACTACTGAGCATTATATATCTTATTATTGTAAAGAGTGGATATTATCCAAAAAATTCCGATAGTAATGCTCTCTTTTAAATCTACTTGGATGTGCTTAACTTTTTATTTCCTTCCAGCAATTGGCAACACTTCTTATCACTCGTCAGTTTATCGGAAATTTAAAAGAATCTGCCTTACCTTACCTTCTTGAGCAGTTTCGACTAGCCAAGCTAAGTTTCGATCTTTTTGGAGCTCTGAGTCCGACAGAGGCCAAAGCGCAAACAGAACCCCAGTTTGATGAGGTGACTGATCCAGATTCTAAAAAACAGCAGAGCAAACCAACAAGCAATCGCAGCAGGACCGTGAGTCAAGCAGAGCTTGAGTGTTCACTATTTAAGGTATTCATTTCTGTAGTTTGCCTTGATAGCAGGTTTCGATGGACAAAGTGCAAAACCGCTTTGCGTTTGTGACAGTGCAGACGTCCTGTCATAATTTATTTTTTCTTTGGAAATCTATCCAACTTCATTTCTTGAAAATTTCCTTGATTTTTCATCCCTATGTGAAGAATATTCTGTGAGAATTTCAAGCTAGGTCTCCTCTCAACAAATAAAATAGGAGCGCAGATTTTGAAACACTACAACGGGAAAACGTGGTTTCGCACTTCGGCCATCGGTTTGACTGCTTCCACTGTAATATTTTACTATGAGGATTTCGTTATTCTTGGTGGGAGGGGGTTCAAAAATTAGTAAGAATAACTGACTTTCTGTACGAAAATTTTAAAGAAAAAGTATTACAGCATGTGTAAAGACGTCTGTACAAATTTCGATTTTGGCTATCGTCTTGAAGATCTTTGACGTCATGAGGGCACGAGGTTTGTCATGCAATCCAAGGCCGTACCGAGGCGTGTTGCGGGTGAGGCTGCCCCCCCCCCCCCAACCGCGATCGGCCTGCTTCGGAATGCACCGGATCGCTGGTGACGTCAAGGGGGTACGAGATGCGACCACCATTATTTATCTACCTTGCATTATCACGATTTTTTTCTTGGTTTTCCCCCTTTTTCCATGAACAATACATGTGGTTTAATATGTTTTTATGCACTTTCAATTATCCAAAGTTTTCGGTATCTTGCTCTGGCCTTTGCCACAATTCATTGAATAGTTGAGGTATTAGTGCACGCTATAATGAGGAATTCTTCATTAAAATTGGCAACTTTAAATCCATCGAGGGATTAATTAATGGGCAATGTCCAACACTGTGAAAAAAGTTGTGCTAGAATACATCAAAAGATCCCTATCATGTTTTCACCCTTTCTCTCGCTGAAACCAATGTCATTTCTCAATTCTTTCTTTTCTAGTTGCAAATTTCAAAGAAAAATACATCTAACATTCTAACACATTATTATATTATCATATTCCGTGAAAATATTTGACATTTCAGATTAATAATAATTTTGCTATAAAATCCTTAGTGTTAGCTTTTGAGAATACGAGTTCATGATCTCATGTGTTGCTCTGTTCTAGTATGATGGAACGTTTGCGGACCATTTAGAAATGTTCATCCAGCTTGGCTACGTTGTCTTGTTTTCCTCAGCTTTTCCACTCGCTGCAATTTGTGCCTTTGTAAATAACCTCATCGAAATCCGAAGCGATGCTTTCAAACTTTGCTTCATCTTTCAACGTCCTTTTGGGCAACGAGTCCCAAACATTGGCATGTGGCAGGTAACGCACTAGCATGACTTAATAAATATATTTCAATTCTAGTAATTTATAAGTCGATCGCTAGTAATTTTGTTGCTTTGAAAAGTAAGGTAAGGAAACAGATGAAGATTTCCTATGGATTTTTCAAAATATGAACTTAAGTATGCTGATGTAAGTTTCCTCTCCCAAATTTTACGTTGAATATGATTTGGTAAATGAGCATTACCCCACTTTTAACCAAGACATTAAGTCAGCACTGGTTACGATAAGTCTGAATTGCCTGCTCTTATGAAAAATCAGAGTCTAAGTACTTGGCTGAAGTAATCGCCGAAATAACGCAAATAATCGGCGGACGGCTCTGAGCTGTCATTTCAGAGCCGGCCCAGCGCTGCGATGACGGCTGGGAGCCATCATTTTAGGTCAATGGGTTAAAAACCGTTGAATAGTTGTGCTGAAGTGTTGAAATTGAGTTTGCCATATTTTTATACCACGCAGAGACTGTTAAGGGATCGTTTAATGTGCAATTTAATTCAAATAGATAGGTTTTTTTTTTTTTTTTTTTTTTTTTTATAAGCCAAATGTTTGAATACATGCATTGAAAAACATTGAAGCTTGGTTATGAGTTACTTTCAATAATTTTTGTAGCACAAATCATGTTCTGTGTGACGTTTTGATGAGAAAATGTTTAGCATAATGCTCAAATTCGCACATTGTCTAGTTACCCATTATTTTTGATAACAAGGACAAATCTCTTTTCCACGAACTTAATGATGTTTAAGTTTTCTCACTCATCTTACTTTGAAATAGAAGATAGTTTTGTTTTATTTTATTTTTTCTGTGTTCGGTTCTTTACTGTTTATTATGGTGCTAACTATTATTATTTCTGTTACTCATTACAGCATGCAATGGAAGTGATGGGCCTAATAGCTGTTTTGGTAAATTGCGCCCTGATTGGCTTGTCAGGACAAGTTCATCGAATGTTTCCTGAGATGTCAACCACACAGACAATTTTACTGATAGTTGCTCTTGAAGTAAGACATGTTTTTCTCGTTTATAGGATAGAGCTAAACAACTAGTTCAAACCTCAATTGTAATGCATTTCTAGACTCACACATTGTTGTTTTTGACATTTTTCATCACCTAAAACTTGGTTTGTGAATGTCTATTCAGAATTGAAAAAGTAAAATTTTTTAAATCTTAAGATGCATGAGACTTAATTATGACACAGCATGGCAAAATTTTCCTTTAAGTGAGAAAAAAAAATGAAATAGCTGTATTAGAGCTGGGAGGCGTTACTTTCCTTAATTTGGCGCAAAAAAACAGCTGAGAGAAATTAGGGACTTTTCCAAAAATTACGTTGACTAACTTTCCAAAGAAAAAATAAAGTATGACAGGATGTTTGTAAGGTCACAAACAGAGATACGTGGTTTCGTATTTCGGCTATCGATCCAGAAAAAAGATTGCAAGGACTTTGATGGAAAAGGTGCATAGTTAAATTTGAATTATTCAGTGGGTTTAATGTTTCTTTGCATTGAGTGTGCTTTTATCCGTTCTTCTCTACTGAACCTCTTTTAAATGATGTGTTTTTTTACTTTTAGTTTTAATTTCTAAGCATTTTTTCTTTTCTTATTTCCTTGTAGCACATCATGCTCATATTACGCTTTTTCATATCATGTGGCATCCCTGATTTGCCGGACTGGATTGCGACTGAAATTGCCAAAGTAGAGTTTGCTCGGCGAGAGGCGTTGAGCCGCCTGTCTTCCACTGCTCACACTCCTGGCCCCACGCCTCCTTCATCTGCTCTTTCCATCGGCCGGTGAGTTTGGTTCCATATCTTAAATGGCACTCGAACCCAAAATACAAGTCGGGTTTAATTAAAAGCCTGGAATGTGTGAAAAAAGTAGTAGCATCCTCAAACTCTTCTTCATTTAGCCATCTAAAATGCCTGAAGTTAAGTTCTTAATACAATTTTTAAAAAAAAAAAAAAAAAAATGCACAATGTTTTTCATTTTCTCTTGCAGATTAAAGTGATAGTTCAGTTCTAAAACATTTCTCTCAATTCAAAATGTTGCAAATTGCCTGATTCTTTTCATTTTTAAATGAGAAACTAACCAGTGATATTGTTTTCAAATTTGATTTTTTTCTTTTCCTAGCTGTTTGAAGTGCATTCAAAATTCTGCAGAAAACTTATCAATACAATAGCTTTGTCTTCTTCGAATTGATGTTTAAAGCAGAACTTTTCAACCTTTGTAACTGAGTTACATACTGTTAATGTTATCCGTCTAAAAAGTTCAAAAATTAAAATGACCATTCTAATTTTGCATAGCGGGAGTTTCATCAAGTTTTGCCACTGATTTTGCCTCTGTTCCTTGTGATTTATCTAAACCTCTCAACTTCATAAAACTCGCTCAATGAAAGACGGCCAATTAATTATTTGCTTACTCACAAGTTAAAAAAGTTGAATCACCTACACTTGATTTCATGAAAAAATTTCATGGTTCGAATTTAATCAAATTGAGATCATTTCATTTTCTTCTAGATTCATGGTATCGCAATCATCCAACGGAGAAGAGTCTGAAAAACAAATGAAAGAAGCAGGATCAGCCTCCTGTTCACACTCCTCAACGCCGAAAGATGAAGCAAAACCATGTAGCCTCAGCTCAACTCCACCGAAAGGTAAAGAACACAAACCGAAAATGACCATTTCTAAAATCCCTCCGTTTAAACAAAAATTATCGATGCCCTCCGAAACTGTTTCCGCCCCATCTTCAGCAGTCCCGAAGGATTGGCCTCTAAACGATGGCGAGGACCAAACTTATCACATGACCATTGGGACTCACAGCGGGGCTGACTTTGTCAAACGTCTTGGGCTGGATAGCAAATCCTCTCCGTTACGCAAAATTATCGACACAGACAAGTCCATGCACAAAAGTACGGAATGTCTGCCAACTGCACAAAAAAAAGCCGGCAGCTCTGAGTCAGATTCGCAGCGTATGCCATGGTCCCCTGGGAGTAGACAGCAGAAATTCCTATTCCATCCTCAAAAGAATGAGCCGGAAATAACCCCAGCACCAATGGATCCTGATGCAATCGCGGCAGCGGAGTCTGCCGCAAAGAAACAAAGACTGAAACAAACCCTTGTCAAGCGCGCAAGGAGTGTAGCAATTTTCTCTTTAAAGTTGAAAGAAAAACGAGCGAAAGAAGCAGAGAAGTTAGAGAAAGCCAAAGAAAAAGAGAGGGAAAAGTCGATACCGAAAGTTGTGGATAATTTGTTGGTTGGAGGTGAGTTGTCTTGTATCCCTCTGGAAAAGTTGATTCTCGTTGATGATGTTGCAATTGGCGGTGGAACAATGAAAAAAAGAGGTTCGTCTTCATCGACCGGTGGAAGTTCGAGTTCCAGTCAGAAACCTTAGTGATAATATTATTTTAAGCTCAAAATGATTCGAACCAAATAATTCATGTAAGTTAAATTGTGTTGATACTGAAGTGTAACTTCATTTTCAGACAACATTTTTTATAATATGGGTCAAATAATAATCCAATCTCTCTCTAACTCAATTTGGAACTTTGAAGTAATGGGTCAGCTACATACATTTTTATTACATTTTATTTTTATTTTTTTATTACTATTTATCTATGTTACGTCTGAACTAAATTAATGTTTTAGGCATTTATCATTAATTTTCAAATGAAGCATGATAGGCCTTTCGGAAAAGTATGAATCACAGCTCTTTGCAAATCTCTTCTTCTTCAAAATTTCACGAGGAAAATGTATCTCATAATGCCAAGTCTGAAAATCCACTCCTGAAGAAGATATGAGTATTTATAAGTGCAGCTGATCAAATGGCAAAACTTCGAAGCCTGGAGAGATTTTCGTTTTGTTGTAATGGCAGTTGGCAGAAAGTCATAAACTTAACCAAATCCACCTGCGGAAATTCGCCTAATGAAGAGAAAACATGTGACGGTTTTTGCTAGTTCAGACCTTGTCTAGAAATTAAGTTTCATAAGTACTAAAAAAACTGCATATTTGCTACCAGTATCATATTTTTTTGTTTTTAAACCTATTTTTTATGGATACGTTCTGACGGAGGTCTCAGTGCTCATATTTTGTGACCACTTTCTTCCTGTGTCAACCCCGGTAGTCGTTAACTTTTATTTTTTTCTATCTCCCATTCGTTTTTACAAAGTAAGTAATTTTTACATGTAGGGCATGGAGAAGAAAATCTCGGCATAACTTCTAGTCAGCTGCCAAATTTGGACTGAAAATATGATGGAATAAGGAAAATAGGTGAATCACCTCGATTTGCTTTCCAGAAAAGAGTCAACGTTTTGAACAAAAGATTTTGCGTAAAACAAGTTTCAAATTATGTCTTTGTCCATCTGGCATGTCCTCAAATATCAGGGAGTTTTACCGAAATGTGTCAGGAAAATGTCAAGAATTTCCTTTTCTAAAAGCAACCCTGATTACAGTGATTCCTGAGCTCATTTAGTTAGTCTATCAGAACTTTGAAAGTGTGGGACTGTCGGTTGTCCAATAGCCAAGGCAGTCTATTAAGAACGTCAGCTTGTTGGAGGCTAAAATTTGTCAAGAGGGAATATTGGTCAGGAAACTGATATGACCATTCATTCATGACGTGCGTTAAATTGAAGTTTGAGTGATAATCAGTGTGAAGGCACTGTTGCAGGTGTTATCCATAACTTGCATATCTTAACTACAGTGTTCCATAATCTCAACTCATTCTTTTTTTCCCCAAAGAATGTTACCTGGCATTCTGTATGAAATTTTAAAGGGTATTCTTGAAAGGGCTAAAAAAAAATTGCATAACAGTGTTCATAATGCCTTGAAAAGTCCTAAACTGTACTTGATTTTTATCGATATACTTAAGTTCATGAATATCCTTGAATTTTGAGAAACTTAATGATATTAAAGAGTCCATACTAGTTCACAGAGGCTTGGCTAGGAGTCTTTAGATTACTCATACACATATCAATAGTTAAAGTGCAAAACCATGTTTCTTTATTGCGGTGTTACAAAATTTCTGCTCCTATTTTATTTTTCTGAACAGAAATAAGCCAACTTTATAGTGTGATATAGAATATCCTGCTATTAGAGAACAGTAATCAAGGAAGTTCTCAAAAAATTACATCAACTAGTTTTTTTTTATGTAAAAATGAAGTAATGCAGGAAGTCCGCAACATCACAGACATAGATACAAGGTTTCGTATTTTGGCTATCAATATAGAAAAGACATTGCAAGGAATTTGATGAAACAGGTGTAAAGTTAAATTCGAAAATTATTCAGTGGGCTTAATGCGTCTCTGCATTAAGTGTCCTTTTATCCGTTCTTCTCTTGGTTTAGCACATTGGCTATCGATACTCTCCATGCTGCATTTCAATCAGATTCAGTGGACATTTCTAGACATGAACCACATTTAGTAATAAGGCTCGATTATTTCTAGCTCATTTTAGAAACAATATATGCACCGTTAGTTTTCCTAGGCACTCTTATGACTGAGCCAATTATAGTTGTTCCTTTTTGTAGAATGAAATCCAGTTTCATCAAAAAAGCCAAGTTAATTCAGTTTAGTACGGTACATAACTGTTCTAAGATTATTCCAAAAAATTGTTTTACGCACAGTGTTACTCGTTTGTACATTTGTGTTTTCTTTCTTTTAATTTGATGTAGCTAACTTTTAGTCAGCAGTATCATATCATCGAATTGTATCACAGAAGACTTTTTTTTAATCGTAGAAAAAAAATTCTAGGACAATTAAATTAAGTAAAAATTAATGATGAGTCAGTTTCCAAAATGGATCAAACTTTTTGATTTACATTGCGAATAGCAAATTCACTTTTTCCATCACTCGGGAAAGCAATTTGCAGGATGTACAAAAAAACCAACTTACATTTGTCTTAATTGCCAAACTGGCCATAATGTTTGGCCATAAAGTGGTACGAGCTATTAAATTCATGAAAGGAGCTGAAGAACCTTTCGAAAAAACACATATTTGCATTGGTTGCTGCTTGATTTTGCAGCTAGTTGCGCATTTCTTTGTCAACCAGAAGCTTTTAAATTTATATGTTAGTCTTCTTAAGTATTCTAATTTTTTTAGGCAATTTTTCCTGAATATTCTGTGGGTCAGTTGAACCATTCTTTGAGTTAAAGAACAGTAAGGTGCACAATCTTAGCAGCACTAGATGCCCCCTTCCTATCACTAGGACAGCCCCCTTCCTATCACGAGGACTTATTCATTCCAGCTTCGCAAGCTGAAGACCCAAACCTACACTACCACATTCCTTTTTGAGAGTTGGCGGATATTTGTGGATGCTCGCCTCATGAACGTTTCCACTAACTTTCATATTGGCTACCCTGTGCCTGGACGAAATCGCCGCTTGTGCGGGCAGAGTCGATACAGGTACGGGGGCGCCACATGAACTATTCATTTCTTTAGAACTAAAATCCTTCCAAAAAGACACGAGCACCCCGTAATATTACAGCAGATCTCTCTGAGGATTGTGGTGTCTGCGGGCAGATTTTAGAAACCACCTTGGTTGACGCATAACCTAAAAAAAAGCAGCACTAGATGGATATGTGCCCTTTTCTCCGATTGATCCTCCAACTGCCATGCTAGGGTGCAAGAAAGCCCAGACTTGCTATCGGTGCAAAGCTTAAAACACAATGAAAATAGTGGCATTTTGAATAGAGTGAAGTTTTTGACCTATGGATCACTAGATAAGGCACCAAATGAAGCATTCTACATTTCCGATGAAGCCAAAGTGTCGAAATTTCGGTTTTCATGTTTTCATACTGCAAAGACAGTCAAAGTAATGTATACTTAGTGTGAGTTTTAACTTAAGTAGATAATGGACTTTTTTATGGGCGAAATTTTTATTTATGCACCAAAAGCATCATTATCTTTGTCAGGAGTTTCTTTCGGCAACGTTTGTTGTACCAATCAAGTTTCATGTGCAACTTTGATGAAATATACTTGTTGTAATACTTGAATTGACATCCTCTCTAATAGTCCGTTACAATCTAAAGGAAGAAAATTTATCATCAGGGGTTGTCAGGCTAGACTAACGAAACACCATATCACAAGAAACATCACTTTTCATAAGTTTTGGAATTTTTCTCACTCCTATCGAGTGTGCCATTTTCTTGGTTTTTGAATCATCGTCCAATGATAGTACTTTAATTTCTCTTTCTTTGAACTAACTTGTTCTAGTTTTTTTCCTTGTCTGTTGATGTTTTTATGAATTCGGGTCATTGTTATCAATGAAAGACTGATTCAGTGCGACCAGCATTAATGGGTCTCACCACACTTGTACTTACTCAACGTTTTAATTCCATTATTATATTCTCTACCACTTTTTTTAAAAAGTAAAGCTAGTTTTGTTGTAGATTCTTTAACATTAAGTTATATTTCTAGGCTCTCTTTCTTTCTTTTTCTACTCTGATAAGATTCAAGGTGAGTGAAACGAAGGTATGCTCTTCCGACACAGACTACCTAAAATCGACAAAACGCTCAATTACGTTGTTTTTTTTTTCAGTCTTGGTAGAAAATTTGAAACAGGATTCCACCCGAGCATTATTCAATTCTTATTGGTCTGCTTTCCGGCCCGGGCTGAACTTGTTGTTGTCAAGACAGAAACAAAACCAACGTCATTGAGAATGCAGCCAATTTTGGGTGCCTAAGTAGGGAAAGAGCATACTTTAATTTCATTAATCTTGGAAAAGATTGTCCTCTGTATAGTTTAGCTAAGAGGATGCGTGAATTGGCTCAGAACTGTGCAAAAACCGCTAAATGAGCAAAAAGTACCTCCTGAATTTTTCAGATTTTTTTGTAAAATGCCGTAATTTATTATATTGACAAGGCTAGTGAAGGTGAAATGCACTCTTGCATAGTTATAATTGTTTCGAAAGATCTCTTGCTGTCTATCTCTCTCTTTTAATGTATCTTTATCTCACCATTCCAGTGTTTTTACAGACCTTTTAAGCCGTCATATTATTTTTTAGTCCGACCCATTTTAAATATTACCTATCTATAAGTTGTAGACTCTTTCACAAAAGTATTTGTATTCAACATCCACCGAAAACATTTTACTGGCTGTTACAAAGCGTTCCTTAAAGCGTTTCCCATTCCTCGGTATTTAAGTCATAAGTCATAACTCAACATGTAAACTTAATGTTATAACAAATCTTGGAGCGTTTTTTTGCATATCGTTGCATTTTTCCTCCTGTCTCAATGAGAGGGTGTTTGTATGTCAAGAATATCTGGGAAGAGCACAGATATTTTTGAGGGAGTTTAGAAGCACTGAAAAAGTACAGGAAGCATACGAATGGGTCAGTGCGTTGTTTGCATTAGCTGAAGTCGTTACCTCAAGAGTTATGCAACGAATTTCGTGTTTGCTTGTAGTGTGATAGAGGGGTGCAAAATTTACCCGAGCAACCATTTTAATAGTTTTACTGAGCTTCGAAGATGTTGGCTGCAAAATGGTACTTGAAAACATTGTTCTGCCTTTCCCCTCAAATTTTAGGAGCCTCTTTGACTGGGAAGCCTAATTTTTAGGAGCCAAGTTGACTTCTTGAATATGCATCATGGTGCATGAAATTTACCGCTGCACTGCAAACGGTATGTTGAGAGCGCAAAAGCTGCTGCTCAATTTTGAGTTTTAAAAAACTCACAGGATGCACCAAGTTTCGACCCAGCCGTTCCAATGTGTATGCGCATTTGGCTCTTGGTTCCGGAAGGCAGAACACTGTTCGAAAATCACTCACTTTTTCACCAAGAAAGGGCCTGTTATTACATGCTATGGTTAGAAAACGTACTTAAAAAGCCTGTACATTTGTTGATGGATCCCAGTAGACACTCTGCATCAGAAACTATCACCCATAAAATTATGTACCTATTGTTGTTAGAATTCTCTATCTTCATCACTCACAGGAACGTTCCAAATTTTCCCACAATTTAATGTAGACTTAAGTAATTGAGTTGGAGATTCACTCCTGAACTATTATGAAAACTGTTACAGTTCTATTGACTATTGAGCAACAAAAATATTCGCGAAGCACTGAAAAATATTATTCTCTGCACCTTTTTTTATCCAGTGGTCTGCCTTCCCCTCAAAATTTTAGAGGCCACCTTGGCCGGAAATTCCAGTTTTTAGAAGCCAAATTAACTTCTTGTATTCTTTTTGCACAACTTTTTGTTCATGAAATGCAAATAATGCTTTTGCAATTTCGAGTTTGAAAAATCGAGGGGGTGCCTTAACTTTCTTGGGTGTTTCTCAGGTGTCATGATGATCCAGTCCCCCAATTTTTAGGCACCAAAGCCCGATTTTTAGGAGCATCCAAGGGAGGCAGAACATTGTCCTTATCTGCTTTTACCTAGAAATTTCTCCGTAGTAAATTTATTTTGAGAAATATTGTTTTTACAAACAAATAATCTAAAAGGGTTATTCGATCCAAGTATATTCTGTATTGTACAGGAATAACATTTTTTTGTAAAAACATTTTTCATTGCTTAATTTCCTTTTTTTTCCTCAGAACTGAATTGTAATTGATACAGTTTGACTTCTTTGAGTTTTTAGTGTTAGACTAGCGGAAGTATTCTCGTGCAATTTTTTTTATCAATTTAAATTATCCCTTGGTCAGAATGGAAGCAAATTTTTATAATTATTATTTTATTTCTCGAGTGCGAAGAAAAACTCAATAAAATAAGTTTGTGCCTAGTGTTCTTACATTTAAGTTGTTACAAGTTGTTAGCGTTTGCTCGTCAAAAGCATGTTTTATTTTGATACTATTGTTAAGTTTCATAATGCTTTTTATGCCGCTTTATTGTTATTTGTGATTCCAAACTGTACAGTTTGAAGTAAAATTCCGCTTTGAAATACAGCTTTCTCTTAATAATTTGTTTTTCTAAATTTTTTCACAACCTCACATTTCCATTTTTCATTTAATAATACTAAACAAAGGAATGATAGATTTTGTAGACAAAATGATCCCATTAACCTCAAAAATGACACTTTTCTAGGAGTATTTTGAAAAACTCCCAGGTTTTGAGGAGAAAACTTATAAACAATCTGTCACATTCAAGAGTTAGAAAACTTTTTTTGAATTCTTGTTTACATGAAAATGCCACCTTGAATTTTATGAAGTTTTTTATTATCATAGTTTCGTAAATACAAAAAACATTTTCATTTCTTAAATCGCAAATTTTGCAATTCATTTTTTTGTCTAGAATGTTGAATAAATTTTACTAAAGAAGAACAAAAAAAGTTTCTTCACTCATACATTTTAAAATTAGTTTTTGTTGGAATCCAAATTTATTTGTCAATCTTACAAGGGACGAAAGAAAAATAATTTTTAACTCGTTCATAAAAATACGATTCAATTGTAAAAAAAACTTTTAATGAATTTTTGGCATTGCAATTTAAATTTAAACATTTGAAAACAAGATTTTATCACTGAGGATGTATTAGGGAGAAGGTAGTTTCTGCGACACAGCACCCAGCCTTTGAATAACATTTGCAGGCATGCAGAACGTTGGATCAACTTCTTTGAGGTCTTTTGTGCCGAGTAAGGACAATCCAGCAACTCCGAAGAGGGTGTGAAAAGGATCAGGAATATCACCCGGGCGATCACTGAATCCGCCTGTTTCCGTATCCTAAAACACACGTCATTACAGAGGCGGGATGATTGTATTGTACTTCCAGATACATGCAGTTTGTCAATAGGACGTATTTCTATCAAACAGACCTAAGCGCCATGGGGTGAGGAAGGTAGAGGGGGGCTTGGATTGGCAGCGGAATCGGGCGTCTGGCTTATTCCGTCCTATACTCGCAATGCTTTTCCATGGCGCTTAGGTCCGTTTGACAGAACGCGCTATCCGGGATTCTAAATTCCTCAAAAGGAACTCAAATTGAAGCTTAGTTCCGTTTGATAGAAATATGTCCAATAGAAACAGAGAAAGTGAATAATTCGACACAAGTAAGAAATTCTGTACGCCCACAGATCAAAGTCACCGGTTCTTTTCGGTATTGTGGGTGTGTGTGCATGGATTTCTCAATTAAAGTTTTTCAAAAAAAGGTTCAGGTCAGGAACTCCTTACCTGAACCTTTTTTTTGAAAATAGAGAATTTTTTTTAGATAAAATAGAGAATTTTTTTTAGATAAAATAGAGAATTTTCTTTCAATAGAGAATTTGCAGGTGTCTGAAAGATGAATTTCGTCTTAAAGTGGAAACTACATTGAACACGAGGATACACTCGGTTCATGAATAGAACAATTATTGGAGAAGATATGACAAAATGATCTAATCTGCTAACATACATGTGTTTAAATGGGAAATGCTGCTAGATGACATCACTAAACAGCGCATTTTCTCTCTTTCAAATCTATTTTTATACTCTTTTCCATATCAGAAATTTTTTTTAAAAAATACTGTGAAATCAGCTCTCCGAGCAATTTTAGATGAGGCAATATAACATTTGCAAGCAAATTCTTCATTCCTAGGAATATTATTCAGAAAATTTCAACTTCAATCCACACATGCTTCTGGTATATCTGAAATTCTGAACAAAAAGATAATTCTCTTACCTGGCAGGCGAGAATGAATCTGGTTAAACTATCTTGATCGATCCATTTTAACCTCCCAAGAATGGACAGAGAGGCTAAGACCCACCAAGAGTAGCAGACGTCTGGTAGTTTTTCAGGTCTGCCGTTTAAGCCACCAGACGGGAGTTGACGTTCACACAACCACCAACCCAACAAATCTGCGTCTATTAAGTGAAGGTTGCCTGGAAACAAAATCAATTCAATGCTGAGTTGTCATCAAGAAGAGTGAGAAAAAGAGATACAAAACTGGCCAGATTTATTTAAGAGTTACGAACTGCTTCAGAGCTGAAGGATGATGCGAGGCAGGACTAAACATAGCCAGGATTAGACATTAGACATTAGGACATAGGACATTAGACAAACGACTATAGTCATGGCTAGACTTGGATGCACCTATTACAATTTGCAAAGTTGCAAGTATTAGTGCTTATTTCTGTATGCTGTTTCTTGAAAACTTATGCGAGAGTGATCCTCTCATTGAAAAGAATATTCTGTGCTATTCCCAAACAATAAATTGGTAAGCAGCATTCATTTTATAAATTCACTTTTTGAAAGTGCAGAGTGAACTAAGCTTTTCAGAATTTTTCAAATTTTTTTAATTCTAAATGGCAAAGAAATCGAACTTTTGGCGAGTGGGCCGATTTTAAGAATGTCAAAAATCAGACCTGTTTGAAACAATACCTATTTTTGGCAAGCTCTGATGATAAAATACAGGGAAAACAGAGTTTGCTGATTGGCTGAACATAGCCTCAAGCATCGTTTTGTTACGTCAACATGACTGTTGGATTTTGATTAGCTATTTTTCCACTTAGAAATGCTTTTTTGAACTTGTCCATGAAATTGAAGGTTTTTACTACAATCCTTTGCCAATGAGACCCTAATTCCTCCTCCTCCTTGATCTTAGCACAAACATCTTCAAGACTTCTAAAAATTAGCCTTGCCAGCTAAATGACTAAAATTTCGGAATGAAATTACATCATAGATGTTGATTGAAGTTTTAAACTGTGCAAATGGGCTGTTTTGAACAAATATCAAATGGATTACATTTTGCAATAAGGAACCACTATTTTTGGCCCATTTCAGAAACAACATACATGTCATTTGTTTCCCTATGTAGATATGCACTTTTATGGAGGAGTGAGAGGTAGTGGTTCCTTATTGCAAAATGTAATCCAAATCATAGTACACAGTGAATTATTGTGTTTCAGGAGCAGTTGTCAAGGTTTTGAGGATTAAGTAGTTTATTACAATCAAACATCAAAAGTCAGGAAAATTAAATTATCTCAGTAGGTTGACATCAAACTTTAGAATTCATCTTCAGTAACGCTCCAACTACCCGATCACAAATTATTTTTTTCAGTCAAAATTAAGTTTTGAAGAAAATCAAGTAAGCCAACACGACTAGACCATTTTTTGGGGAAAGAATTGAATATATACGATTTTTGTGTTTTCTTTTTCCAATTAAAATACTATGTTTTACAATAATGATGGAAAATTGGCGAGATTGTGAGGTTACAAATAGAGCCTGAAATGGCATTTTTTCCGTCTATTTTTTGTGAATCCAACTTTTCAGATACACGACACAGCCCTCGCCACAAACTGTCGGATGATCGGGGCATTATTGTACCTCGTTGCAAAACCATGATCCAGATGGGTTTTTTTTTCTTTTCTCTTCTTTGAAAAAAAAGGTCCAGCAGTGAGGTATGTAGCAGAATTTTTTTTTTTTTAGGGCAAGCTAACCAAAACGGGAAGTCAATACCTGTAACTGAAAGGAATCCAACGCAGCAATAAATAAGGCCAGCATGACTTTCCGATCCTGGCCGTGATCCAAATCCTCCATCAAAATTGAGACAAGACATAACAAAATCTAGAGCTTTCTTCAAATCTATGGCATCTAGTTGACCCTGTAATTTTAAAAAAAAAATTAGGATGGAAAATCCTACAGGGAAGAAAATAAAAATATAACATAAAAAAGTACATATGAGGACCTTCCCGATCAAACAGCTTATATCCATGTCAACGTTGCTAAGATTTTGCATACATTCAACTGTTTAGTTGGTAGAGAGCTGTAAGCTTTGTTCTGAAATTTGCCTCTAATTTTCTTTCCACTTTTCTGAATATTTTGGCAGAGAAATTTATAAAGTGGGTGATTTTGGATACTTGTAAAAAAAAAGGAAAAGATGCACAATCTTAGCAATGTTGACGTGGGTTTAAGCTGTTTGGTCGGAGAGGTCCTCCTATGAGGAACTTTTTAGATATAAGAAACTGATTAGCAGATTACACCAAAACAACTTGGCAATTTTTCACAAAACATAAGGTTCAAGGTCACACATTAAAGTTTTAAATCAAGTCTGGTCAAGCCTTAAACAGAGGAAGCAAGTCACCTTCACAAAAAGTTACTATACTTCTCTCAGTGACGGAGATTTTATAAAGTTCCGATGGTGTTTCAAGGTTTGTTGTGGATTCGTCCGAAATATTTGAGGTGGACTTCTCCCTGACGATTTCCTTTGTAAAAGCTTTTGGCTTTTTTTTCTTCCATACCAGTTTTTTAATACACTGAGCCTCAGACTATTCAAAACGTGGCGGTCGAACTGTTTGGAATTTGAAAAGTTTGGATAATGCAGAGGTGGATAATGGCACAATAACCTTAAATTTATACTCTGTTTCAGTAAAATGTGATAACGAAAACACAAATTTAAAATAAAAAGGAAAATATAAATTTAATATTAAAATATAAAATATAGGATAAAATACAATAAAGCGGATGACATACCTACTTTAAAAAATCTATTATCTCTCTCTTTTTCTAGCCTTGGGAGTCTCCAGAGTCATGACAATAGTGCCAAGCTAAGGAAAAACGCCGTATGAACCTTTGTCAGTTGCCAAATTTCCTTTGCTTCAATACAAATTTTAAGGAAAATTTGTGAATATATTTTAGTCAATTTTTCAGAGAATTTTCTTCGTAATCAGATCTATATCATCTGAAACTTTCAAGAGAAAATATTCATAACTCTCCTCCAAAATAAATCTTTTACTGGAGGAAAGAGCTTGATGCAAAAACGGCTTTTTTCGCCCCCCCTCTGGAAGTTCTTCAGACTTTGTCTATTGATTACTCATACTTGAGCGCTTCTTTTCCCAAATTTTCAGACCCCCAAAAAATTTTGAGGGGGAGCTAGGGGGGCTGGAAGTCAAAACCTGTGAACCTCAATATCTCTTGAACAAAGAAAGATATCGAGGTCCAGTTTGGACGAAAAATCGTCTAAAATTGCATACTTTAAGATTCTAAAGGTCGAAATCCCGATATCACATTTTTAAGTCAACATATGTGCTTTTTTCCATTTTTTAGGTCTAGAAAATTTCTTTTAAACGAAGAATTTACAAAGATCTCAATTTTTTATTTGAACCAAAACCAGTTTTTTAAATTGTTCGTCTTTTTCCGCATCCATCGAGTGGTCCATTAAGCTAGGGAACCAAACGGTTCCGGAGTTATGATCGATTGAAGTTTCCGCTCAACGCGTGCCGACCGATTTTCGCGCGCAAAAAAGTCGGATTTGACTGTTATTAGATCAGATTGAATGTTCAAACTGATCAAAATGCTTTATTAGGGAATCTTGAGGTTCGCTGAGTTCAGGAATTACCGATACTTCCAAAAAATTCACGTTTTTAAAATTGCAGCTTCGGACAGGACCACTGAGCGGCCAGTCGGCGCTCAGTGGGCCTCTAAAATAGCGCTACGGAGCTGTAATTTTAAAAACGTAAATTATTTGAAAGTATCTGTAATCTCTGAACTCAGCGACCCTCAAGATTCCCTAATAAAGCATTTTGATCAGTTTGAACATTCAATCTGATCTAATAACAGTCAAATCCGACTTTTTTGCGCGCGAAAATCGGTCGGCACGCGTTGAGCGGAAACTTCAATCGATCATAACTCCGGAACCGTTTGGTTCCCTAGCTTAATGGACCACTCGATGGATGCGGAAAAAGACGAACAATTTAAAAAACTGGTTTTGGTTCAAATAAAAAATTGAGATCTTTGTAAATTCTTCGTTTAAAAGAAATTTGCTAGACCTAAAAAATGGAAAAAAGCACATATGTTGACTTAAAAATGTGATATCGGGATTTCGACCTTTAGAATCTTAAAGTATGCAATTTTAGACGATTTTTCGTCCAAACTGGACCTCGATATCTTTCTTTGTTCAAGAGATATCGAGGTTCACAGGTTTTGACTTCCAGCCCCCCTAGCTCCCCCTCAAAATTTTTTGGGGGTCTGAAAATTTGGGAAAAGAAGCGCTCAAGTATGAGTAATCAATAGACAAAGTCTGAAGAACTTCCAGAGGGGGGGCGAAAAAAGCCGTTTTTGCATCAAGCTCTTTGGTAACTATCGGATGTTCATACGGCGTTTTTCCTTAGCACGGCAGAATAGGTTTTTTTTGATAGCCGAGAGAAGATACAAAAAATAGGTAAAAGAATCAGTCCTCCCAAAAATTAGTTTGGATATTCCGACAGATGGATAGGTTTTGAGGTTGATTGAAAGTCACAGAAGTGCCCTGGAGCGCTAATTTAGCGGCTTGAGTATTTATATGCATGTATGAATTCAGAAATATTTATTTAATAGACTAATATGACTATCAGCTAAGTATGAACCCCAAGTGATCTCAGAATTTGAGGCCCTGGATGATACATTACACCTTCTGACGATAATGAAAAAAAAAAATTCTAAAATAACTCTTTAAGAAAATACTAAAAAATTGAGTATACAAACCAGCAATGAAAGACAAGCTACAGCACAAAACGAAAATCTTGTATCTATTTCACCCCACTTGTCGCCTGCGAAGCTACCATCTGGTTGTTGAAGGCTTTGAATGTATTTAACTATCTTCTGTACAGGTAATTTAGACTCTTGCTTCAATAACGCTGCAATCTAATCACAAAAAAAAAGTTAATTAATTGATTGCTTGAATTCAGGAACAAAAAAACTAAAAGAAAGTGTGGGTTAAATAAAAAATCTTTAAGTGATGTGAGCTGAGAATACTTGAAATTGCTGTCTGACAAGACAGACATCTTCAAGGTAAGCATGCAGAAGACTTTTGATTTAATTTGAATTCTGAAGTGAAATCTCTATTAGAGATAAATTCATACAAAACTAGAAAGACTTGCTTTTAATTCAGCACAAAAATTCAGGGAAAGGTTGCACTTCATTCTACAGAGAGATGTAAAGCTTGAAATTTTGTGTAAAGAATTTGTAAAGAAATCTTCTTTCAGTTTTGGAAAATTTATCTATTCTGGAGTCTTTTTAATCTTTCCGCAAAAAAAACCATTCAGGTCGTATTTTTTCATTTTATCTATACTAGAAATTGCATGAAACCCAGTGCTTCAGTTTTTCAGGTTTAAATATTCAACTAACTAAAATTGCAAATTCTTATTGAAAATAATTTCTTCATGACTATTCTTACAGTGACTCGGAGCTTTGGATCCAGAACTAGACTGCGTCAGTGCCGCTCAGTTTGATTTCCCTCCAGTGATCCGATGTCTAGGGATTTATCCCCAGATCTAGGGATTTTCAGGAATTTCTACGGATCTAGAGGTTTTTCAGACAATCTAGGGATTTTTTTGATGAAGTAAAAGTAAGTAAATGTATCAAATGACATCATTCTACGTCAAAAAAGGCGGTTTCTTGCAAAGTCTAGGGATTTTTTGAGGATATTTGAGCGAATCTGGTGATTTAGGGATTTTCAGCAAAATCTAGGGTTTTTTTTTCTTTCCCGCTAGGGCTTTAATATCGGTTCATTGTTTCCCTCACCTGACGATTCCCTATTTTACGGACTGAGGGCATCATGTAGACAAGGAAATTCAGCATGCAAATTTTACTTCTTTTCTTGACGAGCACAACGGACCCATTCGAAGTGGTAGTATTACTAGAGGGGAAAAAAGCTCACCTGAACAGCGCTGAGAGTGTATAAAATGTGTGGATCATGGCCAGTGCTTGGGCTAATTCCACCTTCATCATTGACACACTTCAGTATGAATTCCATCATAGCCTCAGTGCTTTCCTCATTAGATTCATTCAAGAGATCAAGGGCAGTCAGACCCCAATAGATCCCTGACATTCTCAAGTACTCAGTCATGCAATATTCCTGTTGAACAAGTCAAAAATTGAGACTAATGAGTTTGTTGAGACTCATCAGCAAAAAAATATGCGTCATTTATGATTAATTGGCCAAGGGTTAGCCAGCTATGGTAGGAGCTGCAATTTTTTTTTATCAAAACGCAACTTTTCGCCCTTTATCTATAGAAAATTAACTCCTAGCAGCAAATAACGTAACATTTATGAAACAAAATATTGTAAAAAAGTTGTAAAATAGACCAAAAAAGAAATGCTGATGTAGTATTTTTTTCGAGAAAAATATGTATACAGTACGAGTTACCTGTCTGTACCTCTTTGATCACAAATTTTTTACTTCAAATCCTCGATCTCTGGCTATTTACGACTTCTTTGCAATCTATTTCATGTATCATTTTCAAACTCCTATAAAATACTAGTTTCACATTTTTTTCTCAGGTCATTTTGCACGGTGTGCCACTAGGGTTAATGGCCAGAAGTTTTTTGAGATAACGAAAAAAACTTTCCGTCAAAAGTTCAAATTTTGACTCATTCATAAAAGCTTGACGATAATCACTCTCTCACATCTCCCAAACATTCCATTGAGGAGATTTCAGGCGCTTGTATGGGGGTCCACAGCTCCTTTTACCATTAGATAAAAATTTTTTCACAGCAGCCCGTGACGATGGTAACATGAAAAAAAGGAAGGGGGAAAAAACAGGAAACAAGGCTAAGAATACACAATTACCTAAATCCGAGACGTTTCTGCTCAGAACTGATTCGGGTGTGTAAAAAGGCAAATCTTAGTGCAATGAGGGGATACTGAAATTAAGTTCCACACAATGCAGCAGATCAGTTAGCAGCAGCTAAGCAATACGGCCATTCAATAAATGAAGAAAAGATTTGATGATTGAACTTACGTAATCTTCCTTATTGTCACTATAGGATTTTAAGTAATTTACATGTTTATCTTTCAACAAAGTGTTTGGATGACTGTCTGAGATGGTAACATCTTTGACTAGGTTTGCCTGAAAAAATTTAGGAAAAAATGAAGTATTAGCTCAAAGGTTCACATTTTTTACTTACGATTTTGCAAGCTAGGGCTGAAAGAAATTTACTCCCCTAAAGTTTGAAAAGGCTGGTTTTTATATTATTTTTTGGCATGAGGCTTTTAATTATGCGTGATTTTTACATGGCATCACAAGACTGAAAAGCGAGAAAAAATATCATCGCAGTTAAAATCAGCCTTTTCCCTCCATATTCTTACTACTCGGCTCCAGTCCATGTGGCTCGTACCAAACCTGCCCCTGCTATTGTCAACTGCATTTTGTTTTTTTTTTTACTACTTAAAGTAGCTCACAAGGGCTATTCCTGCGCTTTCAAGTCCCATCCTCCCTATATCCCTCCTGAACAACCAGTCCCAGACAACCATTGTTTGAGACCATCAAACTCAGGTCACCTAGCTGGAAATCGAACCCAGGACCTCTCGATCATGGCGCTACAACCACTACACCACGGGAGGTCGACTCTACAGAGGATTAATCGAAGACCGGGCACTCCTTCATTCGATGCAAAGGATGATTCACTCCTGTTAAGTCATTTCGTTTGTCAAGAGGAATAAGTACTTAGGCTTAAAATATTGTTTATATGCTGATGTTGTTAACGTAAAAAAATTACTGAGGTATTAATCAAAATATTCAAACTTAATGGTTGATATCCTAGCAGCATAAGAATTCTTTACAAGTAATCTACGTTTACATGTAAGCTGCGAGGTGCTCAGGATGAAATTTCATCTATGATAACTTACCATTCTTTTGAAATGTACTCGAGGAAGGTTGATGTAAACAATAATATCTGCTAAAGCGAGTAGGACATGAGGAGTTGGGGGTTGTCTGGGTGTGAGCGACGCGCAGAAGGATTGAAATTCTTCAGGAAGTTAGTGGTTGAGCGTGTAAGATTGAAACTAAATAATTATGCTTAAATCATCAAATGATTAAAAGGAAAAGATCACGTATATAGTGATGTATAAAAGTTGACAGTCCATTCATATCTCACTGAAAAAGAAGATTCTTCATCTGTTTCTGTTACAATTCTGTTATCACTTGCTTACTATTGTTTACAAATTTACGTTGCGGTGATTGGTGAATGCGGCGGACGAAACCGCTGCGCAAATTCCGGAAAAGGATGGAGAAGAGGTAGAGGGGAGAAAACGACATTAAAAATCGAAATTTGCATGGCAACCATGGATAAAACAGGTGTTTTTTTGCTCAATTTTCGATGTTTTTTTATTTTGACGTTTGTTTACCACTTATTTCAAGATGGCGAGGTGACCTGTGCAGAATCATCGTAAGCCGTAACTCCAAGGTAATTTGTCTACGTAACCATTTAGTTTAGTAATTTAATGTGGTATTCGTTCAAAATTAGCACTGCCACGTTCCAATTCACACGCTTGTCAACGCACTGTACCATATTCCACCATAACATCGCAAATATAAGGCGGAAAACGCCAACATCAACATGCCATTAGAGCTGGAAGTCCCAGTGTGAGAGAGTGAGAGGGGAATGAGTGAGGAAGATCACATCAAAGATTGTACACACAAGCACCTCATATCAATCCCATTAATTTTAGGAGTTATTACCTTAACAACTTCTGGAATCAACCTCATGCCCAAAATCTGCTTATCCATCATGAAGCCTAGTTCTGTGTCATCCCATACTTTTTTATCATGATCGCCTCAGTGTATTTGACTCTAATTACGAGTCATTAAGTATTCAGGTTTGATAAGCGTTAGATCTCTTGTGGAATCCAATTTCATGCCATTGCAGTAGTTCATTATTTCTTTCAGAAGCCATAACATGCACACAAGAATTTTTAATGAGCCCTCAGCATTTTAAGTGGTGTGAACGTCAAAGTTTCAAGGATTAAATACCTCACGCACTGTTAGTATTGGCCTGGTTTTATCCTCTCTACTTGAGTTGTTAAGGTATTCACGGTGAAGGTGTGTCGTGAATGATGTTATCGTCTTCTTAGCAGCAAAGATGAAAATACAGGTGAATATTTCAATATGTAACTATGGTCATTTCCAAAGCTAGGTCTTGCGCCACTTAAGTGGATGCCGATCATACTCAGCGTCGAAGAAGTGAGGCGCATCTTTTCGGAGTATCCATTGTAGCCTCAAAGGCTATAGACTCAAAAATATTTCCAATTTTTCCGTGCTTGGGGATTAACTACATCAACAATTAGTGATTATGATGAGCCAACTGTCATTCCCTATTTAAGTTTCTTCCTTTTACTGCAAAAATAATCAAGTACAGGAATTTTTATTTAGCAAGATACTGTGCCCTATGGTAGGCCACTTATTGTATTTAACAACATTTTAAACCCATACATTTCCTCACTTCCAAACACTGTTCAAATTAAGTAGCAGAATTCAATTTGATTTGTTACTATCACTTAACCACAAATTAGAAAGAGTTAGGAGGTATGATCTATGTCATTTTTATTTTTGCCCTTTAACAAATCTACTGTGTAAGTCGGCAATCACATAACTTGGTTTGCGATGTCGCAGACTTCCTGTCATACCTCCTGTCATACTTTATTTTTTAAACGGAAAACTACTCATCGGCAATTCTTTAGATCTGCTATGACTTTTCCTCTCTGTGCCAAGAAAATGTATAAACTTCAAGGAATGATGTCAATTTGTTCTCCATTAAAAAAATAACCTAGAGGCGGAGATTTCCAGACACCGCAAACGAGATATGTGATTGCGGACTTACGCCGTTGAATTGTTAATTGTAAACACTTATACTTCTTCTAGAAGTTGACTTGCAGACTTCCCTTTTTCCTCCTTAAATTTTGAAGAGAAAATTTGCTGCAGAATGTTTCAATTCATACCTTGTCTTGTAGCACACTTGCAAGGGCTACCAGTCAGTTCAACATCATTGTGCTGAAATGACTGAACTGTAATGATTCTGATATTTCAAGTACGAATTTTAGTGTCCTAGTGTAATAATTTTCCAAGAATTTCTAATTTGTTCTTTGCATTGGACCCATTGGCTTCTCAGGACCTTATAAAATTTATGCTTGCATGCAAATCCAAATGTTTACAGCTGGGATGAAACCCTAAAGTTTCATGCTTTAATGCAGAATTTCAAAATTCTGGAAACTTTCGCCCTGAAGCAGCCCTACTCCGAAGCTGAATAAAATAGTTCAACTTTGGCGCGCAATTTATTTCTTGGTTCCCATTTTTTCCTGCTGAGTGAAGCTTTTTTCAATTTATCAATTGCATCTCTAAATAATTTCATTTTATTTTGCACCGTGTGTAATCTAACATCCTTTTCTACCTATCAATTGTGTTTTTTGAGTCTCCATTCAGTCGGAAACTATTGAAATATTTTCAGTTGTCTGTGTTACGAAATGTACGTTTGATCACTGCAAATATTAATACTGTTGCTCCCTACCTCTGGTGCTGTTTACAATGACATTCAACAGAAAGCATTCACTCTCAGTGCCCATTGGGGGAAAGGGAAGAGTTTACGAGTTAACGAGGTCATGACTTTCCTCTTGAAATCATCTATTTCCATGAAAACATCCAAGCGGAAAGGTGTCACTGTTATGAGCCTCGAGAATATAACATTGTATCCAATTATTAATCTCAAGTAAATAAGCCACTGCAATCGTTTTGAGATTTCATTACTTAAGTTATGATTACACCATCCTGTTTTAAAGATTTACTTAACTCTTGTAAGATTTGCCTCGATAATTTTTGTAAGTTCAGTTGCAATTCTCACCTGTAAGAAGATACTCTGAAATCAGCAAGCTCATAATATCCTGACCTAAAATCATTTTTTTTAAAGGTAGTGCTTAGAAAAGAGAGAAGCTAACTTTCTATCTCTAGTCCGTTCTACAAAAGTTACTGTGCTTAAGAGCAGAATTGATAATTTTCTAGTGCCGCCTTGGTCTAATTATGAGCTGTTGCTGTGTTTGCTGAAAAGTGGAACATGCCAATTAGTTTTGAATCATCAGTATTTTGTATTTAGGCCTTTAATTTCGTCACTCAACTTTTGTGGCTTTTAAACTTATTGCATCACATTGTCTAATGATCTCATTTTTCTCTTTACAGAAATTCAAAATAAATGAGCTAAAATGTGAACACTGGAAAACAACCTCAAAGCTATCAGTTTTGGAAGTGTAAGTGAATGTATTCAGTTTTTTTCCCCTTCCTCAAGCTTTTTTGATTCTGGGCTATTAGCCATTCAGGAACAACTTTTTTATCGCATTCCTAATGGACCACCAGACAAGGTACGAATTTGAGCAATCTGACATATGTTTCTTAACCAGAATTTTACGTAGAACATGATTCATGCAACAAAATTACCAAAATCAATTTCTAACGAAGATATCTACCATTTTATTTCACATTGGTTATGAGGAATTTGAACTGCACGCTCACAAGAAACTCCAAGCTCTACATGGAGTAAAATTGCGCACTACAACAGTTTCAGTAAGCTTCTCAATCAAGCAGTGTTCATTTTCCACCATGTGTTGTTCAAACTATAAGCAATTTGCTATAGCTGAGCCAAAGTGTCAAGATTGAGGTTGCCAGATTTTTATATCGCAGAGACTGTCAGGATAATATTTAGAGCGTGACGTGAATCACGTAGAGCATTGAGTTTTCATAAGCGGGAGGTTAGAATTCCTGCGTCAAGAAACATTAAATATCTTCATTAGGAGTTAATTTCAGTAATTTTTGTTGTGCAAATTGTGTTCTACATAAAATTTTGGTTAGGTAATATGTATCAGAATGCTGAAATTTGTACCTTGTCTAGTGGTCCATTAAAGGGCAAAAATCTGATCAGAGCTGAACCGAACCCACTATACCAATCTGGCATCATTGTTTCAAGGTAAAAGTGGTTTTGGCCATTCAGCTAATTTTTTTACGTGCTGAAGGTCTGACCTTCCTAAGTAACGGAAAGTTTTTGTAGGATTCGGGTCGAGAGAGCTGGAGTTTTAAGGGAGATAAGGGGGGGGGATTGATCTGCAGTGCTATGGAATAAATGCTGCCTGAACATCCAAATGTTGCCAATTTTTTCTGACAGATCGGACCTATTTCAGAGAAAAGTTATGAATGCTGAATTTCAGATACTTTACATATTTAATCGCAAATTCATGCTCTGATATACTGGAGGTAAAATATGCGCAAGTGCCCCTGGAAATTTGCATTATATGAAGGAAATTTGGCAATGTCTCTAGATTCTTACAGCGTTCTTCTCTAGCATGGCAGCATCGACCCCTGGAATATCTTCTCTGGACTGACTTCATGTTTTTTTGCCTTGTAATTCGATTGCTAAAGTGTAAAACAATGTATCTCCATTGCAGTGATTTCAAAACTTCTGCTTCTATTTTATTTTTTCTAAGAGAAACGAGTCCACTGTATTGCTCGAAATTTCTTCGGAATATTCTGCCAATGAAGAAGTAAAATCAAGGAAATTATCAAGAAATTAAGTCGACCAGTTTTCTAAAGAAAAAATATACTGTGACATGAAGTCTGCAGCATTGCAAATGGAGATATGTGGTTTCGTACTTAGGCCATCAAATTACTGGGAAGAGAGAGCTCGATCGATTTGGTAGAAACTTTGGTTTGTTATACAAGTCCGACCCTCTTGGTGGGTGGAATGTATCCAGAAGACTTGGGTCCTAAGGCAGCGTAAAATGTGGGTGTTATCCCTTAAATATTTTATATATTTCAGGCTGAACCTTCTAAAAAATCCAAGAGAGCTTGGTTTTTGGAACTTCAAATAAATAAGGGGGTTTTGCCCCTTCATTTAACATTTGTAACGGATTTCATAATTTTGCGCAACACTTGTAGTTGGTGGGAAGTTGGACGTGGTTGATATGGTTACTTGGTTGATACATTACAGGTTCAATGTCCCTACTGAAAAGTGTCTGTAGGATTTGGATCTAGAAAGCCAAGAGGGGTTTTGTCCCCTTAGGCTTTATGCTTGTTTTGGGCTTATTTCAAGTATTTTTATTGTCGCAAAAAGTGAGCTCAATCAATTTGGCCATTGCAAGTCTATCCATGCAATGACCAATGCCTTGATTAAAAGTGTTTCTAAGATTAGTGGTCCAAAAACTGTAATTTGGGAGGGTTTGGCCCCCCAAATACCACATTTTGAGTTGATCAGATCACTCGATTTTTATTAATAATCCCAGCTATTACCAAGTCAAAGCTTGAACACTTTGGCTGAATTGAGAAGTTGCAGACCTGATCTTCTTGATGAATATCATTCTCAAATTTGGATCCAAAAACCTCTGGTGAGGAGAATTATAACCCCTAGGTTCAACATCATAGGCTGATTTCACAATTTTTCGTGATGCTTAAACAATTTGATATAAATAGACCCAGTCGATCTGGCTGAATGAGCTTGCTGAGTAATTTTTAATCTTGAAGTAAAATTAAAATTTGTTTATGGTAAGTAGAGTGCGTTTGGTTTGCAGAAATTGTGCCCAATTCTCTGAAGGACATACTTAAACCCACAAAAAATGAATTCCAAGCTACATACTTCGAGCTCCCATTTAAACGCGCACTTCTGAGAAAGCCAAGATGATATCTAAAAATATCCCCCCATCCATGGACACACTTTCGATCGAGCAAAGTCTTTGCTGTGATTTGTGGTCTGTGCATTGGTCTGATCATTGACAGTGGCTAGATGGTCCATGAATTGCACTGCTTGATCCAATGCCCACGGATAGAGGGATATATTTGGACCTTTCTTGGTTCTCTTGGCAATGTACGGTTAAACGGGAGCTTAAAATACACGAGTCATTTTTTCTTAAAATTTTGAAGGAAAAACATGCAACTGTACTTTACAAAACATGCAACTATACAGCTTTAGCTTGTACTCTGTCTTGTGCTACATTCTGTATTAGACAGAATTTTCTAGTAACTTTGCTCCTGTTCGAAAGTAATCAGTTGACTTCAAAAATTAAAATCATTCCAAGAAGTAAGCATGAAGGTATTTAACTAAAAAGAAATGTTTGAAAATGAAGTACAAGAGATCAGGTAATGACATTTACCTTAACCTTAACATTGGTGTGTTAAAATTAAAAGGAGAACACTATCTGATGATGTATATTACTTGAACTTTTATCCTTATTAATGTTGGTGGTTCCTTCATCATAAAATAATTATGAAGAAATTTCAATAAGCGTTAAATTTAATTTGAAATGGAGGGAAAACGTATCGAGCAGCTAGTAAAAGGTTGAATCAAGTTGAAGCATGTTTTCATGTGTTAGATAATCATCCATTGTATTATCGTATGTTTTTTCATTTCCTTCTGTTAATTATTTTTCAGTCTCATTTAGCAACTTCTACTGTCAAACAAACAAACGAAATTAATTTTGATTTTTTTAAATTGATTTAAAAAATTTGCAGGGGTGCAGATAGTGCTCTTTTGGTTGACTTAGGAGAAAATGTGAAGGCATCTTCAAAAGGGGGAAAATTTTTTTTAGGCCGAAGCATTTTTATGGAGAAAACCATTAAATAAGTTATTTTTTGAAAATAGAACTACTCCAGCTCATTACTTTTGACAAAGGAAACTGAGTAATGTGCTCCTCTGTTGGAAGAAAAAATTGAACCACACAGTCTTTTGTTGACAGCAATGTGAAAGCAGCCTAAAAAAATAAGGAGGCCAAACATTTTCTGTACCCTTTTTGTGGATTATTGCCTACCAAATTTTGACTTATCCTGTCCCTTAACTGCAGTATAAATAATTGGTTTTTATTTTGACAGGTAACTTTTGAAAAGATGCTGAATAATTTTGGAGAGGCAAACCGAATTCACAATGGACAAGAGGCAACCTCTCAATCACAACCGCAGTTGCAACCATATCCACCCCACCCATCGCAGCCACCTCCGAATGTACCAGGCCCTCTACCACACCCAGCGCTCCCTGCTCTGTCCTCACGGAGTTACTCTACTCCAGCTCATCTAGATGAGTATTTTAATTGCATGTTTCAGCCAAAAATATTTTCAGGGCAAAGAAACACAAGCTCAAATTTCAAGAGAAATCCATCCAACGACTATTCATTTGAAAAAAGATCCCCATATGCTGTCTGTTACAAATCATGTTGCCAACCCTCACCGTACTCTATGAATGCTACAGCAACTCCGTCGGCGTTGCAATTCTCATTTGGACATCCAAACCAGCAGAGCAACCCAGAAAGCATTGGACTCCAGGATCAGATGATGCCAAATCAGTCACACCAGCAGTCCCAGCAAATGGATTTTCATTACCTTCCATCACCCGCAAATACTATTTTCAACCAAAGAGTGAGCAACCCAAACTCACATGAAACGCCTTCAGGAATCGGATCTCATTATACATCCTCTAACTATCTGCATCCTTCTTTTTACAATCCACGGCCACCCAATTTCCTGCCAGAGTATTATGAACGAACACCAAGCAAAAATCAGTCACCGAAAAGTACTATCAAACAACAAACTAGTGTTATTAAGAATAGCAATGATTTTCCATATGCATCTGAAATGAATCAGAAATCTCTGCCACCTCCCAACTACATCTTTAGCAAACGACCTGAATCTTTTCTCCCAAGCTACTTGCCACCGTGTAGTCAGCCTAACTTTCCTCCATCGAATCAGTATTCCACTCATCGCAATCCAATCATCGATGCCCCTATTCCTGCCCCACCCTACCGAAATTTTAACTACTCTGTGCCTGCTGCAACTCCAACAACACCAGTCGTCGAGCCGAAGTCACAGCCCGAGGCACCTAAGAAAAGCAGCTCTAAACCTCTTGACGTACGACAGTTCCTTGAAACATGGGATGATGATGATGATGAACCAGGCGTAGCGTCTGGCGAGTCTCCAACCCCAGTTATCAGCTCATCAAATAAATCTAGTCAACTCTCCGCTAATCTAGACCAGCGTAACAGCATATCGGACCTTAATGCTTCAAGAGGTGAGTATCCTGTCATTGCACCCGATCCAGAAAATAGTGTCCTTTTCAAAATCCTCAAGCCAGGAGGAGGTGCCGAACGAGGACCTATAGACACTCCATTTGCAAACCTTGAGCACTACCCGTACAACCGAGTTCAGCTAGGCATCTCCAACTCTCCGATCGAACCCCCCAACAACCCTAGTCTAGCTCCGCTGCAGTCGTATTCGAGAACTTTTGACAGAACTCCTCCAAACTATGCTCCATCCATTTTTCAACACGATTCAATGATGTATGGCTCTAATGAGAAGTGCAATAAACCAGACTATCACGACGCGAAAGTGGTAGTCCCTGCTGAGAAAATGTGCAATAGCCCTTGTCCTATATCTTCGCCCTCAGATCTAAGTCAGACAAGAAGAGTAACCAGCTCTCCCAAGAAAACCTACCTGAACCTAGAGCATAATGTCATCAAGAATAATGATTTGTACTCTCAAAGTAATCAGCTGAAGAGCACAGGAAGGAGTAGGCCATCGACACCATCCTTGGACTACGATTTTAGAGACCCTGAACAGTTCATTAAGCCAACTATCATTAACAAAGCTGACTATCAACGTAAGGACCAGAGCGAAGACAGTATTTTGAAGCATGCACCCAAAAGTGACAGTAAGAAAGGAAAAAACGTGAAAGAGAGAAATGTGTCAGTGGTGCCACCAAATAATGCAGTGCAACGTAATTCGAACGTACAACGCAGTGATAAAGCTCTGAAACCTCCAAATCCTGCACCGTACACTGAGGCTATGACTCAGTTTCACCGTAACCAGATACCTTATAATAAAACAACTTTAATGCCATACTGCATGCCCCCTGGTAATCCACTACCGAGTACTGGCTATGATTACCCCGTAATGAGCGTCATAAACAATAGTCACAACTATGTCAAGTACGATAATCGGCCAAGCTATGCTTCAGAAGAACCAAAGTATGACAATACATGCTCAGTCAACATAAACTTGAATATAACCTCTGACAAATCCCCTCAGGTATTTTTAAATAGTGTAAGTACACCCAGTCCGAACCATCCTCCTCATTCTTCTCCTAATGATAGTTCTAGATTGCTCCCTCAAAGCTCTCCGACTAAATGTATCACAGCAAACAGTGATTTGCATAAAAATTTGCACAAGAAGGAAAAGCAAAAAAGTATTTCTCAAAAATCATGCAGCGAAAACAACGCTCCCTCAAATCTGACAGTAGTTCGTAGTCACGGAACCTCCAGCACAAATTTTGTACCAAGAAGTGTCCCGGAAAGTATTCCAGAAGCATTTCAAATTCACTCATTAATCGGCCCTCACAAAAGCAATGATCATGCAGATTTTATCAACAGTTCCAATAATTCTGCAATCAGGGATTTAAGCAAAATGGCAGAAAGCGTACCTAACCATCAAGTAGACTCAAGTCAGAAATGGAACAAAATTGCTGATCTCACTAGTGTTAGAAGTCCATATGTAAGTTCATTTAATCTACCAGCTCACTGCCCGCCCAAAATTGATAAATCCGACAGTGCAGCAAATAGCTCTCACCCCATAGAAACCTCCAATCAATCGTGCCTGTTTCAGCCTCTTGCTATTGGAAAGCCAGATAAGAGGACCGATGGAAACTCAACTCATTTTGTTGGCAATGAAATTCTGAAGAAGAGCTGCACAACCGAGCCAGCAGATAAGTCACAAGCATTTGCGGATGATCGTCCAAAAACAAATGCAAATAATAGTTTAACTTCTGAAGTTTTTGATACTCAGTATTACAAGTCCTGTATTTATGATTCCTCGAGCTCCAAAAATAATACTAACCAAGCTCAGGTGGTCGATAATTCTAATGAAATTGCTCAGTGTTTAGTTTCAAGACCGAACCTTGACATTAATTCTAACAGCATCGGTGTAAAGCATAAAACAACTTTAAGTAATGATCCCTCTAGAATAAGCCCTCAGGCTTTGGAGAGGTTATCCGATGCGGGGGTCGATTTTCAGAAGGAAGCAGGTGAAAATAATTCTGTTAAAACTGCTGTTTTAAATGATACTTCTAACTCAGCCATCTGTAGTAATGAAAACACGGTCATTACAAGTACGTTAAGGGCTAGCCTGGTCCAAACCCTGCAAGAGAGCTCTGGAAAGCAACCAGGCGGGACCTCAAACAACATTGAAAATTTGGCAGTTGGCGAAATTTTCCCTGTTGAAGAAAACAAGAGCCCACCAAAGTCCCTCTCAGGCAGGAAAAATGTCAGTAGCAGCGCTGAAGAGTTGTTTGTTGATGAAGAAACTATTGACTCTATTATTAATGAACGATGTGATTCATTTGGTGCTGTTGAATTTCCTGTTGAATCTAGCTCACAGACAAATGACCAAGGAGATGCTAGTGACAGAATTCCCCCATTATCGCTTCTACCATTTCCTGAAAGTGGACAGGCAGCTTCAATATGTGTGAATTCAAATGTTTCAGCATCCGATGGAACTGCAGTAGATCCCTCAAGCGATGCTATGTCCAAAAAAGCTAAAGTTGTGAGTGGAATGGCTGATCTTCTGAACAGTGACAGTGATTTGAGTGAGCTTGAAGATGAAACAGTCAAAACCCGTAGGAACAAAAAAAGAAGACCAGCCTCCAATGGTTATTCTAGCTTTGACCTATTCAGTGACAATGGTACGTTCTTTTCTGATGCTCGCCACAAACCTGGTTCCTCAAAAAATGATAAAATATCAGAAGGCAATGATTGTTATAGTCTGACTGGCACAGTTTCCCAGAGTTTGCAAGGCGCAGAAGCCCGAAAAACTGATGAGCTCACCCTATCAAAATCAGACAATCACACCGATTTTGAAATGCTTGTTCAAAATGAGATGAATAAATTTAACTTTGAGTCTGATATCCTGAATAATATAGGCTCTCTTGATGTCGAAGTTGAGCCTCCACAGTTTTTCAGTGAACATAGCTCAACCTCCGAGCCCAAATCAGTCGGTCAGTCTATGAATGATAATGCTAATAAAACTAGTAATGTTAACTCTGATTTGAATGTAAGCACAGCCATTACTTCGATCCGCGCAAAAATGGATGATTTGCTGCAAGAAAAAATCCTCGAAACAGAAAGATTGGAAGAACTAGATGGCACAAAGAGAAATTCCTCTTTGTTTTGCGAAGAGATGCCTCCATCAAAATTAAAGAAAGAAGAAACTGATCTCAAAGACAAGGACAAGAAAAAAAAGAAGAGCAAGAAAGAAAAGAAGGAGAAAAAAAAATTAGATTCGAAGAAAAGAAAACCCGCACAAGTTACCGATCCTGATCAAAATTCAACCTTACCCATCAAAAAACTGTCTTTAGAAGAGACACATTTAGTCAAGGCAGACCATACTACGAAAGAGCTAAAAACTGATAAATTACTAAGCCAAGTCAATGAACCGCACAACACCCAGGAAAATAAGTGGGAAAGGGTAGATTCAGAGTCCTCGCATGAAAAGTCAAACCCTTACAAGTCTTTCAAACCTGTAATCCGAAATATTGATTCTCTTCTAGAGAATGATATTTTTGAACCTGAGCCACCAGTCACTACTCAAGCACCTGTCATTATATCAGATTATATGAAACGTGAAACGCACCCTGAGGTAGAATCTCATTTGCAAGTTAAAAGCAATGAATCCTTTAATTTTACCATTGAACGCTCCTCAGATGACCATAAGAACTGTGAAGCTGAGTCTACTCTACATCAAAAACATTCTAAAAAGAAAAAAAAGAAAAAGAAGAAGGAAAAGCGTGAGAAGGAGGACTTTTTGAAACAATCATTCGGACCCACGGTGGAAAAGAAAATAGATCTCAACAATCCAGCATCGAGGAATGAACCGTCAAAAATTAAAACTGCAACACGCAGTAAAGCACAAGATTATGAGGACTCAAAATTTGAAACCCCTAAGTTAAGTACTTCGACCGCACCATCAATTGTGTCCGCCGATTCTGTGCGCAATAAAAGCTATAATTTATCCTTGGATTGGAAATTAATTGTGAGTGCAGCAGATTATATTGAAAATCAGTCTTCTCAAAGTGCCTCCAACCTCAAAACTCCTGAAACTGGAAGTACAAGGAGTCAGCTTTCAAATTCTCCACCCATCGTGCACGAGAAGAAAGTTGAAATCAGCGTAAGCCCTCCCTCAGATGACGACAGCAATAGCTCCTTCGATTGTAAAATTGATAGGAAGCTTTTAGAGTCAATAAAGTTTCCTGTTAGTAAGTTTGAGCACAGAAAGTCCAGGAACAGTTTGTCTCAGAGTTCAGTCGATTCTGTCATCTCTTCAGCATCAAATCTATTTCATGAAAGCTATGCCGATCAACTAGAGAGTCGAGTGATAATCTCATCTAAAGTTTCCTCTAAAATATGCAGTCGAAGATATAGGAGCAATTTATCTGAAAGCTCTACAGCTAGCTCTGTAATTTCAACCTCCTGCCAGGACAAAGTCACCATTGAAGATGACGGTCAGAATAGCAGGAAGCTTCGTGCATCAAGGTATTCATCAAATGATGATGAATTTATTGGTTTATCGCCTACAATTTCCAACAATCTGAGTCAAGACGAAGAAAATCAAGATGAAGGGCTCGAGGCTAATAACAAATTTCTAAGTGAAAATGACCCATTCTTTTTTAGAAAAGATACGGCATCCAGCACACCACGACAGATCCTTTCCCCAATAAAAACTAAATCTGACGTTGACACTTTTTCAGATGCAGAGAGCCTAAATGAAGAGCGTAGAATTGAACCTATCAATTTTAATAATTCTCTCAATCCAGGTCCAACCCCTTTCTTCGATCAGATCTCAAGAAGAAACAACACTAGTCCTGTCCTAGGAGACACTGTTTACGAGCCTACTGAGACTTCTATTTCATGTAATCAAGACTTGCAAGACTCTCTCTCGGAAGAAAATCTAGATCAAGAAGTTGAGGATTGCTTGAAAGAGGTGACAAGTATCCGGTCGAAAATTCACAATCCACCTGGAAACCTCTCGGACTTGAAACCAAACCAAAGGATTGCATCCATCGCTGATGATGCAGGAGTTTTTGAAATAAATAGCGGAAATACATCAAAAAGTGTCTCAAATAAGGAGACTTCTGAAAATAATGAAGTAATCGAAGCGTTGCCAGAAAATAGCCCCACTCAAAAATTGACGCGGATAGAACAGTATTTATCGCCCGCTTCGGAGGAAATAATCTGCCTTGATAGCCTGTCGATAAATAGCTTAGCCCAAAATTCATTACCTTGTCCAAAAAGTCCATTTTCACCACCCCATTTTGATGACATCATATCAGTGAACAGTCAGCAGGCTCTTTCTCCATCGAACATTGAAGCAGTTGCTCCCAGAAAATCGGATGCAGAATGCTCCCCCACAGCAATTAATTTGATCGAACAATTACCAGCATGTAGTGAAGTAACCTGTGTTAAATCTATTTCAATGACAGTAAATTCAGACGTATCCTCCAACAAAGCATCCTTAATTACTAACCCTTTACCTTCAAAAACGGAGGAATCTTGGCCGAAAGTGTCGCATTCGCAGAGTTCCACTGACACATCTTTTATCATCGACTCTCAAATGCATTGCTCTGAAAATAGAATTCAAGAAGTGAATGAAGCACTGTCATTGAAAAACAGCGTTTTGAATGAGAGTGCTCTGGATTTAACTCAACAAAAAGCAAATTCCTCTGGTTCTTCTTTTAGTTTAGTACCAGAACATAATTTTTGTGATCAAAGCCCTTCTAAAACTGATTTTAATGAGGGTGAAATCAGTCCTCACCCAGTTGAAATGGTTATCTCAACTACTCGTCCTGATGTCAATTGTCCCCCTCAAAAAAAAGAAACACAATCTAAAGATTCAACTGCTGAATCCATACCTGAAAGTACTGCCTCAACAGAAACATGTGTGCCTCCTCGATCCCCTCAGAATATGGAAGTGTATCCAGAAAAAAGTTATGCTGAAGTTGATCCTTTACCATCTCTGCAAAACATGATTGTTTACTCAGAAGAATTGAATGCTGATTATGTCAGTGCCACTTCTCAATCCTCACAAAATGGTGACCCTCTCCTAATAGAATCTAATACTGAATATAATTCTACAACTGGGCGCATCTCTCAAAAGGAGGAACCAAATTCAATGAAATTGCATGTTGACTCTAATATCTCGACTGAAACATCTGCGCAAAGTCAATCAAATCCAGAAGAATCGGGTTATGAACTATTAACTGCGGGTACTAATTCAACCAAAAGCCCAACTGATAATTTTGCCCTCCATGAAGAGACCATTCCTACAAAAGAATCAAGCACGCAAATATTGAGGGAAGTTACTACAATGCCATCTCTGCAAAGCAATGAATTGCAGCTAAAGGCAACAGAATCATCATCTAATCACATTGACTCAAATGACTGTTCTACAGCACACCTCTCCCTGGAGAGTTGCTCACTAGATGACAAAGAATCACATGAAGAATTGTCACAAGGTGATATCTGCCCAATTAATAATCCCCTCTCTTCCCCCACTCTAAAAAATGAAGAAAGCCTGAAAGAAAGAACGGTAGAAGTGTTAGCGGAGGACTCGAGCTTGACTGATATTTCTATTGGCTTTCAGTTTTCAGAACCAAGACCAGTTACTAATCAACTATCAGAGGACCCAACTGGCATAGATGAGCAACCATGCAAACCCTTGCAAGAAAGTAGTGTGGAATCGTGCTCACCTCTAAATGAACAAACTGCAGAACATCCATGTGGAAATGCTCACACCCTTAATGCTAATCAGTCTCATGAAGTGAGTTCCCATAGCTCTCCAAGCCCCTCCATCCATAGTGAATCCCGTCAAATTTCTACGTGCTCAGCAGACAACCAACCAACATCTGAGAAAACGGTCAGTGTATTGTCAGTTTTTGAATGGTTTGATACAATCTCAAGGAAGCCCCGCCCCAAAACATCCTCACCCTCCTTATCTAAGTCAGATCTATCACGAAACAATAAAGAGAAGTACCTCTCAAAGAAGAACGACTCCTCAACCCTCAGCTCCCTCCACTCAAGCTCAGGATCTGACTCTAATCCAGTAGGCAAAAAGAAAGGAGCCCATCAAGCTTTTGAACCTTGCATGAGCTCCCAGAACCTGGGAAACAACCCTCCTCTCAATGATGTTAAAACACCAATAGCCAGCAGCGAAGAAAATGAGAATTCGAAAATCAAAATAGATCCGATCCCGTTTGAGAGTAAGAGTTCCAATCTCACTCTGAGCCCAGAAGATGGTGATACTGTACGTCAAGAACTCACTGCATCTAAAGAAGCATCTGAAATTGAAATTTCATCAAGGAACGAGCATATTCCTATGGTTGATGAATCTACTCCTATTGCCACTGAAACTCAAGCTCTGTTTTCTGAGACATTTTTTGGTGACAAAGAAGCATCCTGCAAAATTATTAATCAAACTGTGAAATTTCAGAAAGCAGATAGTCACCCGGTTCTCTTTGATGGAACAAAGCGTGAGCAGGAAAAGGATAAAAACAAGCTAGTTATGAGCTCTGAGAAAACAGATCGCAAACAGTCATCAAAAACTGACACTCTAGATTCACCAGCTGAAGTTGGAAAGAAACTATTAAAGGAAAACCTGAATGAGTCTGAAGAGATCATTAAGCATGATATAAGCAGTAAAGATTTTTCAATGACTAACACGCAACCTAAAGAAAACTTCCCCACACATACTCAACATAACCAAAAAGTAACCATCGAGGAACCGTCAAGAAATGTCAGGAACAGTCATTCTGACTACTTGGAATTTATTGAAAAGAGAGACGTCCTTGATGAAACGAAGGAATCTTGCAAGGAACTCATAACGGAAAGTAGTGTCAAGCCCAAAACTTGTGCACCTAAGAAAGAGAAGTCTACGTCTAGAAGAAAGGGTGAGGAAACAAAGCGGTCAAAACACCGCTCAAATGAAGAAGATGAGGCGAGGAAGAAAAAGAAGGGAAGCAAAGATAATGATGTTCCCAGACCTAAAATGAAGTCGAGTGAAGGAGAATACTTGGATGCGAAAAGAGAGAGTTTGCCTCCTTTGCAGATTCTGGAGGACAAAAAACACGAAGTAGTCAGTAGAATTGAAAATTCAAGCAGAAATGAGCCTGGGGAAGAAACTGAAAAACACTCTAGGAAGAAAGACAAAAGTTTCTCGGATCTAAAAAGTGGAAGCTTCACCGAAATCAAATGTAAGGAAAACAAAGGCAATTCAGATATTTCTTCCAAAGAAAAAATTAAACCTTCTGACAGTAAAAGTCACCAAAAGTATGATACAGAAAAAAGTCGTCACAGAAAAAAATATTCAGACACTCCTTCCAAAAGCACTAAGGACTGTAGCTCATCTCTGAGCGAGAGGAGGATTGTCGAAGATGAAACTAAAAGTTCAGGTAGGAGCAAGATAGGAACTACGTCAAACAGTAAACTAGAAAATTCTCATCGTAGCAAAAGCCATGACAGAAAGTCAAGAAAAGATCACATTGATCAATCACCCTCACGAAGTAAAAGACCAAAAGATGAGACTAAACATTGTGATAAGAGAAAAAATATGACTGATCATCAAGTAGACAGAGGAAAAAGTTCAAGCTCCGATAAACAGTCGAAGGTTGCTTCTGGAAAGAATGAAGACAAAATAAAATCTACATCAAAGAGCGCCACCGAAGACAATATTAAAATTTGTAATAGCAATTTTAAATCTGGTTCGAATGTTATAACCCTGAAGGAGGATAATGTTGGCAGTCATGAAGTGAATACTGAAAGTGTCTCAAGTATAATGGGACATGCCGCAGCTAATACTAGAAATGAAGCTTTGAAAAACGGGGGAATCGAAAGAGGAGGTAAAGCAAAAAACAAGATCATCTTGCACCCAAAACCTGCCGATTCTAATCCTGAAAAGAAAGCACATGTTTCAAGCTCAAGCGACCATTCAAGTCCAGCTGCTCTCGATAAAAACTTATCAAAGAAAGGAAAGGAGTCCCAAGAGAAATTAAGTAAACCCAAAGTTGATCTCAACTCTGGAAGAGAAAAGCCTTTGAATTGTGAAAAAGCTCCAGAAATCCCTAGTAAAATGAAATCTCATGACACTGAAGTTCCTAGAATTCGAGATGAAAATTTTCCCAAGATTGAAGTTAAGCGCTCTGAAGGTGAAAGCAGACACAAAATTGAAGCCTATTGTCCTGTCAGGAACTGGGAGTGCCCCTTTGTGAGCAAGGACAATGCCCGACAGATGAAAATACGAGCTACCACTCACGCTGACTCATGGTCTTACATGGAATCATCCAGGATCGATGCAAAATCAATGAATATAGAATCCTTACCCTCAAATGAAATCAGCAGCCAAAATCCTATCGTTCCAAATGTTTCGAATTGTTCTGAAAATTATTCTAATGGCTATTCCAGCAGAGAAAAGATTGCTAAGTCAAACATTTTGGAAAATACCCTTGACCAAACTCTAGTCAATCCCTTAAAGCGCTGGAAAAAACCTCAAACATCTTTGGACAGTTACCGTGGTCAAACCTCTAAAATATTGACAAATTCTTCTTGTTCATCTTCAAAGCATTCGGAAAAGCCTTTGGAAATTACATCAAATTTTGATTTTGAACTTGATCAGATCTCAGCCGGTGTTGATAGCGTCCCCAAAACTCCTGAAAGTGAGTTTGTCGGTACCTCAGAAACTCCAGATAGTAGTTTTGGAAGAATCCCAAAAACGCCTGAAAGTAATTTTAGTGGAACCTCAAAAACTCCTGAACTTGATTTTAATGAAACTCCTAAAACCCCAGAAATAATCTTTGAAAAAGCACCACCATCGCCTGAAAGTAGTTTTGGAAAAATCCCCAAAACACCAGAAATTATTTTTGAAAAAGCTCCAAAAACTCCTGAAAGTATTTTTGAAAGAGCAGCAACACCTGAAAATAGTCTAGAAAGAACCTCAAAAACTTCTGAAAGCAACTTTAGTGAAACTCCAAGAACACCAGAATCCATCCTTGAAGACATTGCAATAACACCTGAAATTGGCTCTGATGAAGTCTGTAAAACCCCCGGCCGAAGTTTTGAAAGCTCGTCCGAAATCCTAGAGGACAGTTTTACAAAAACTCCGAAAACGCCTGACAGCAGCTTTGGGAGAGCCCCTGAAACTCCGAAAATCAGTTTTGAAGGTACTTCTAAAACACCAGAAAGCAATTTTGATAGAGCTCCTGAAACACCCGGCAGGAGCTTCAGCAGGACATCAAAAAGTCCGGAAAGGAGATATGACTTTGGCTCTTCTACAACTGAAAAAAGTTGTAGCAAATCTTTGGAAGCACCTGCAAGTAGCTCCGCCCAAACTCCCACAACTCTCGAAAGCAGTTTTGGAAGAGCAGTCGAATCCGAGCGTAATTATGCTGAGACTCCTAAAACGCCAGAGTGTTGCTTTGGGAGGAGTACAGAAGTAGATAGGAAAGTCAGTGACTCAGGGAAAAAGTTCACAGACTCTCAAGCAGCAGAAGCTGATTTGCATAGGACAGAGAAATGGAAATGCAGACAGTCAGAGGTGAAAAAGGAAACAGAGCAGAATTCCTCCAGGAACGAGAAGGTCATGCGAAATAATGATACGACTAAAAAGAAGAAGCACCAAGAAGGAAGGTATGAGTCTGAAAAACATGATGAGAAATCTGGACATCGATCTAGAAAAGATAGCGGCCGTAAAGTAAACAAAGATGATGAAGCGGACGCAAAAAAGTTAAAATCCAAGAGTCAGCGGTCAAATCAATTGGAAAATCAATCTTCATCTCTGAAGTCTAGTTCCTCTCAAAGCAAATCGAAATCCAGATCCTCAGATTTGCAGAAGGTTCATGCGAAACGTTCAAAAACAATGGAAGTGGACAACGATTCCCCTTCTCGAAAAAATCTACCATCTCAGATCGCCTCAGATGAAGAAGTTCCCAAAGTAAAGAACTCAGTGTCATCTAAAATTAAACCCTCGACCTCAGACTCGACTGCTGTGAATGAGCCAGTATCCTTCTCTTCAGATTTTGAATTGGATTTTGACAAGCATGAAATAGATTTTGACAACTTTCACAAACTGTTTGATCAAACGTGGGAAAAATTTTCAAAGCTAAAGGAAAGTAGTAAGAAAAACAAAGCCAATCCTAAATCAGACAAGAGGAGCAAAACGAAGGAAACAGAAATTGAAAAACCACCGCAATCACATTCCGCCACAAAAACGTCCTCTCTTGGTGACAAAGATCGAAGTTCACACAAAAGTAGTTCCAGTACTGACAAAGAAAATGCAAAATCTAAGATTAACTTACCAAAAAGGAAGCAGGATGATATGGCAGGGAAACCATCGCAACAACTAAATTCCATGAACAATATGAAAGAAGTCAACTCGGAGGTAGATGATAATCTGAAACTTTTAACCAATGTATTTGGAACCAATAAAACCAAATACAAGCAAAGTGGATCCCAATACCAGACCAATCGCTATGAAGCACCACCAAAACCAATCACAAAAATGAATCCTACGCTAGTCAAAGACCATCCAATATACCACGCTGAAAATTATAAAATACTCGACATATCAAAAATTCCCTTACCTCCTGATGATGGAAACTCTTTCGAAAATGTATCACCAAAGAATTCATGCACTGATGATCCAAATGTGATCAATATCAAATTACTCGCAATGGTAGGGAATCAGCTCCCTGAAAGATTTGATAAGGATAGCATCCACACAGAGAAAAAGAGAAATGTCAAAGAATCGGTTATACCATCTCTCAACTCCCAAGAGATGCTTATTCCAAGGCAAGTCTCTTCACTGAACTCCGTCGATACAAAATTTTTAGGGCCAGTTATTCCGAAAGCGATAGTGCCTGTGGGAGAAAACCAACCTTGCCCATCATCACAGAACGAGCGTGAACAGTTTCCTTCCGTGACTTCAAGTCCAGTCTCCAAAGCAAGAGACAAAGAGGCTCTTTATTCCAGTTTGTATAAAAAAATGAAGCACAAAAGGCTACAAGAAAAAAATCGTTTGAGTCTAGAGAAGGAACTTTCCATCGCTGCTCAAGATAGGCCAAATGTGCCTAACTTAAATCCTCTACAATCAGATACTAAAATATCTAAGTCCAGTGACCTGCGTCCTAGAGAAGTACCTGACTCTTTGGAATTGAAGCCACAAGATCAAGAGAATGAGGCAGAGGCGTTTACTTCTCCTGGAATGATTCCTTTACCAGCTGAACCTAGAGAACTAAGTAATGATGAAGATTCAGGAAGCACTTCAGATGCAGGAAGAGAGAAAAATGAATATTCATCAAAAGAGGATGAAATTGTACTCTCTATGGAGTCTACGTTAGTGTGCGAACCACCTACATCAGAATTTCAAGTTAATGTGTCTCAGACTGATGAAAATAAACCTCATTACGCACCTCTTCAGTCAGAAACAGGAAGGTGTGAGAACATTATCAGTATTACATGCAAGGCACTTTCAGATCAGAAAGATGTGAATGAAAGTTCTGAAACTGTTCTCCCTCTCTCCAAACTTGACTCTTCAGAACAACAACAAAACCTTGTTTTCAAAGCCCATGAAGAAGAAGAAGAAGAAAAATCTGATGTCTGCTCCTCTGAAAGTCGTAAAAGGCCCTCGATAGATTCATCAAAATTAATCGCTACTCATACTACAGAAGGTCCCACTGAAACTGCACTGAATGAATCAGATCATTTAGATTCTTTCAAAAATCCAATTTCTAACCATCCAGTAGAACCTGTATTTGAGTGTGAGCAAGTTAGTAGCATGCCTGAAGAAATAAAATCGTCTAAGGAATGCTTAATGAATGAGGAAGCGCAACTGGAATTTGTTAAAAGTAAACTTCTTAAATGGAAGGACACCTCAGCTAAAAAATCTGTGAGTGCAGGTAGTCTCAGCAGCATTAAAAAAATTTTACAGAAAGACCGGAAAAAGCACAAGAAATCGTCCAAAAGGAAGAAAAATAAAGTACAGTTAAGATCGCCGCATTCGGATCCGGATAAATCGCCCAAAATTTTCAAAGCCCATCCAGATGAAACCTCCTATTTGCCTCGTTTTGTACCCCAAAACGTTTCTTCAGCGTCAAAATCAGTCAAATCAATAGAGGAAAAACCGAATACATCCACACTTGATATGGTAAAAAATTCTTCTTCAGTTACGGAACCTTATGAACTGGAAGAAGGTGAATTAAAAGAACTTGACACAGAAATGATATTGTCCACCTGTCCCACTCTGTCCAGGGACTCTTCAGACAAAATTCTGTCCTTAAAAATTGAAGCCTCTAGCCCCCAACTGAAAATCTCGGAAGAGATATCAATCGATCAACCGGAAATTGACTCAGAAATATCTACGGTCTCTTCAGAGCTGGAGTCTAATAGTTTACCAACAGCATCATTGTCAAATTTTATTGATAAAAATGAGGAGTATGATCTTTCAAGTGACCAAGGAAAGAACTCCCTAGAATTGAAGGGAAAAGCTTCTGTTTGTGAAACCTCTATTGAGAGTTCTGGTGTGACTGATTTTACTGGCGCAGATGAACAAGGTTCTGGCAGAAACAGACAAGATTCTGTCACAGTAGAGATCGAGAATTTTCAGAAAATGCAGCAAATTCTGGAAAACGTATGCTCTGAGGAGGATGATCAAACTAGATTGGAGACGCAAAAATCAACGCCAGCATATGCTAAAGTCAATGCCATCTCAAGCAACGCCACTGATCTGATCTGTGAAGACACCGAAACCCCTGGTCAAAGTAGAAATCCTCCAAGTTCCAAGTTGAAACCTCCTGATGAATTTCCAGTACAATCATTTAGTAATGATGGTGAATCAGAAAGTAATGTTGATGATCTTGTCCTCTCACAAAATCATTCTTTGACCTTAAATTTAGAGTCAACCGATAATGACAGTTGCATATTGAATGGAACAAAAATCGTCTCTCCTGTACTGATGCACTCAATTGTCAGCGAGCCACCTCTAGGAACCGCAGAGGAACCGAATGTGCTCATGACAGCAGAGCAAAAAGGAACTACAGTCTCAATTCACGGTAACGAGACAATGGATGATGACTGTGAATCAGTTGTAAATGAGCACGCTACGTTGCAAGTGGAGATTGTCTCTGAGAGTGACAGAGTCCAAATTTTGTCAGATAGTTTTTGCGACAAGCAAACAGACTTTAATTGGGATTTTGATGAATTTGATACCTGTCCAGGTGAATCTGCATCCGAAGTTCCTACAGCAGATCTGGCGACTGAAGAGAACACTCTTCATTTAAGTGAAAAGTGTATCAGTTGTGAACCTCCAACACGGTTATATTTAGCAGAATCTGAAATTCAAACCTCAAGGATAAGCGATTCACCCCAGAAAGTTAATGAACCCAGGTCCGTTTGTACGCAGGACGAATTCTCCACAAAAACATCTGACGAATTATTAAGTGGTAAATCAACTATGGCATCAAACGCTGAATCTATTCAAGAAACTGAGCCTTGCCAAAATTATACCTATGAAGATAATTTAGCTGAAATTTCTCCCAAGGTGGCAAGTCAAACCGATGAGCCGTCAAATCAAATGTTGACTGAAACAGATAACTCTGCTGATTCAAACCTAGAAACGGCAACTTTCAGCAATGAAATCTTGCAATCCAGTGATTTATCCAACATTGAAGATCTTGCTTCAACAGACAGCCCTGCAACCGTTGATTTTATTCAAGAAAGTTCATCTACCAGCCAATTATGTGAAAATGAAAGAGGAATTGTGGAAGATTTTTATGATTCAGAAGTAGACAACTTGAAAGAAACTAAATGTATCCGAAAAATCTTGAAAAGTTGTCCCAAGGAAGATAATAATACTGAAAACCTAGATCAAAGTCCAAATAGATCAATCCAAAAAAATGCTTCATTCCTTGAAACAGGCTTTCCCAACGATATTTTGACTGAGGAAAATCATCCACAAGCTCACGATATAAATCAAGAGACTCAGTCAGACTCAAAGGCCTGTGAAGATGATCATGTTAGAACTCTTTCCTCTGAACACAGAAACGACTCTTTGCCAGTTACTGAACCGACTGAAGAAATTGAACCTGGTAGTCAAATACTCACATCAAACAGCCATTGTGCTGAGTTGGAGGTGAAAATGGGAGCCCTTGATTTAACTCAAAAGATGGTTTCATCTAGTGAAGAAAATTCTTCTTGCTCTCCCAAAGAAAGCCTTGTTGAATCTGAATCGAAAATCATCAATATCAAGCACACTGAAAATTTCTCTCAAATCACAGTGGATGGTCTTGAAAAACTGGTGTCCCCAACACTTCCTGAAAATGATGTAGAGACTTCTAGCCATTTATCTGAAAATTTATCTGGGAGAAACGATGTCAATTTTGATGTAGGCAGTGGAATGGCATCAAATGTCATGAGTGATGTCCTTGAAAGAGCAGAAATGACTAGTAAAAGTTCCAGCAGAAGTCCAACTGTAGACTGTCAGGTTGAAGATGGGAATGTTTGTGACTCTACGAAAACTTCAGGTCTTATTTTGTCTGATGCAGTGCTACATGATCCTTTAAATTTGAATGTCGAAATGGAGGTAGTGATTGGCTCAAGCGGTGATGAAAACAAAGAAAGAGAGCCAATCAAGTCTCATGATTCGGAAAATGAAGTATCTCCTATCAAAACCTTCCATGCAGAAGGAGAAGATTCTAAAACTGCTCATAAAATACCTTCACCTAGCAGAAAAAGAAGAAAACGGCTGACAAATTCTTCTAGACGGAAAGACTCAAAAAAGAAAAGATTCACATCACCGAAAAACGTTGCACAAAAGAAACAGTGTGCATCTGCAGGCATTTTTCTATCACCAGAGCTGACATCTGAAAAAATTCAGACGACAATCACTTCGGAAGACAAAATTGAAGTCGTAGAAGATGAAGGTGGAAGGAAAAAGAACTTTGATAATGAAAGGTTGATGAACACTGGTAATGAGATTAGTGAAAACATTGAGATGACCGAAAGAAAAATCCCTCCAAACATTAGCAGTGCAGAGACGATAGAGGAAGTTTTTTTGAATGATGAACATAAAGACTCTGTTCATCTAAAAGAAAGTGCATCTGTGACAGGCAATGGCAGTTATGAAAAAATGGATGAAGGAGAACATTTTCTAGAACCAACAGAAGGTGATAATTCTCTGTGCACTAATCGCAGATTGTCAAAGAAGTGCAAGTCTGTGGAATTGCTAACACGAAATGTCTTCAGTCCTGAAACAGGCTCAAACAAATCATCAAGAAGCATGAGCTATGTACGTCTGAAAAGCACAGACTCTGACTGTAGTTTCTCTCCAAACTATCTTAAAGGCCTTGAACATGATAGCTCTAATTCATTTATGAAATGTTTCTCTTTCATTAAAGACAGTATGCCATTCATCACAGATTCAACAGCTTGCCTCACCGATAGTGAAGTAGGGTCTCCTTCTCTTGCAAAAGAAATAGGAACCGATATCAATGAAGGAGTATGTCTCCCACCTGCAGGCAGTGATATGGATGAGAGTATAACAGCAGCTCTTTGCGATTCACAGTTGAGATGTTTTGATGAGTGCCCAATCAATAACACTTTCAGCTATGAAGGAAAAGGAAATCTGGCAAACCCCGAGATGGAGTTAATTGGTTCAGAAGAAGCAGAAGATAATGAAAATATGGAAACTCAGACTTGTAACTCAAAGAGTGAATCAGATCTCAAAGTTCGCTTGCCCTGGAATAGAATCTTCAACTTGAAGAAACGTCGGAGAAAGAACATAACCAGTTCAAAAGGTATAGAACTTGGTCCAGCAAAGATAGAAATTCGTTTGAATTCAAGTGAGAACAGCGGATCTTGGAAAGTGATTCAGAATTCATCTGTTTCTGTGTCATCTGGGAGTAATTGTAGTCTTGGCTCGCCCATTGGAATCAAAGTTAATCGCCTCGTCTTACAGCGGCATCCAACCAATGACGCAGACTCTTCAAAAATTGGAGAGGTAGAAATTCCTAAGATCAAGGATTCCATACCTGAAACGATTCCAAAAGTTATTATCAAGAAAAATGGAACGAAACGCTACAAAAGTTTTTTCAAAATCTCGAGTAAACAGCTTCCAGTGGTCAAAATTTTACGAAATAGACACATTGATTTGATGGCACTGAAGCTCAAAGAAATGGTTGATAGCTCTCCACCCAGTGTAAGAGCAGAACAGTCGCCTTTGCAACCAACTGCCATCAGACAATGGACCGGACCCAAAAGTAGAAGACCAGGCTTTAAGACTGCTACATCAAGCGAGGCTGCTTCAAAGCTGTCTGCTGCAGACACTACAGATTCTAATAGGAAGGCAACTAACGTCAAAGTCAAAAAGTTACCTAAGTTGTTGCGCGAAATGCAGTTAGACGATCCCCCTGAAGTAGACTACAGTCGTCCCATTTGTTTGTCTACCCGAAGGAAGGTGGGAGAGAAGAATAAAGTTTTAGAGATGAGTAAAACACCAGCAAGAGAAACGATCAGTCTTGCCACCATCAGAGAAGAAAGCGATGTCGAGCTAAACGATGCTGATAACACTTCTGATAATTTTCCAGACAACGTAACTCTTAAGTATTTCCCTAGCTCTATGGGTGAACCATGTGACAAGGATGGAGCCCCTAAAAGAGATTTATTGCATCAAAGCAGTAAAAGAAGAAAAGTTGAGATCAATGTGCCAAATGATTCATCTGAGAAAGATTCAAATGTAAAGTCAAGTTTGATCTCTTTTGAATCGATAGAATCTCAGAATTTTGAGAATGATGTGGTAGAGGGTATTGCAAAAACGGAGCCTGCTAAGAAGAAAGGGAGATCAATATCATTCGACTCCGATCGCAAGGGAGTGTATCAGAGGTCGAGGTCAAGCTGTCAGATATGCTGCGCTGCTGTGGAAGAGACGAATGAGAATTCGAACATGACGAACAACCTGTTTCATTGCACCAAGTGTTGTCTGGAATTTAAGTCTCAAGTAAGTAATTTTTTCTTTGTCGCCAATCATTATAGTTCTTTCCATATCTCTGATATCTACAATCTTCAGTTTTATTTTTCTTTAAAAATTGGACCACTAAACAGGGTGAAAAATCAAGCACTTACTACAGCCCTTGTTTTTTCAAAAAAATTTCCGCAGAGCTTTTTGAAAAAATCGAAAAATATCAACATGAACTCACAAGTGAAGAATGAATGTATGTAGTTCACACTTTAAACAGTACTTTTAAATTTTCTAGGCAGTTTTGGAACTTTTGAAGTCAGGGAAAAGCAACAGTTAGGGAGTTTGAAAATGAAATTATAGAAACGCTGATCAACCATTAAAATATGATTCTGTGACATGTTCAGCTGCTCCAGCTTAGCTACTCCTCATTACATATCTTCTAAATTTACTGTCTAAAATTAGCAAATCCTTTAATCCTATAATTCCTGATTTCTGTCCTCCAGGAGGAAGAAAAAGCACATGACATAGCATTCCACAAAAATACTGCAGAGTTGCAAAGCTGCTGTCTCTGTCATGTATCATTTGTGTCTGAATTTTCTTTTAAACAACACTTGAAAAGCCGGCTCCATCAATTGCTGGAATCCGTTCAAAAAGAGACCATCAACTCCCTCTTCAAGCATTTCACAGGCAATGTGTGCCCGCAACTGGAGCATAGCCCAACCCTCGAGGTTCAAGATAGAGAAAATCATCTGACACCACTGCAAATTGTATTGGAGGTCAGTATTGCTTAATGTTTTGATTAAATAGTATTAGCTTTTTATTTTTTAATATCGTTTTTAACGTTGCCAGTGCTATGAAATTAAAGAAGTCAAGACTTACATTGAGACATGTTTATTTTTCAAATATGTAGTCTAAGCTTTTCGGCAACCCGTAAACTGTATTGCATTTGCATTTTGCGAAAAGGAACCAGGAGCATTCCAATGTTGCCAAGATGTGCAACTTTCTTTACCCTGCAAATATGAACTAATCATCTATACAAGTTTTATCTTTACTCCCAATGAACTAGGAATTCAAGACGAAAACGACTTACCTTTATAAATCTGATTTTTTCATCATTTCAGTAATTTTATTGCAAATTATGTATGCTGCACAATCCTAGCAACATTAGAATGCTCTTGGTTCCTTTTTACAAAATGCAATCCAACTATAGTTCCTTTTAATTAAATGCTAATTGGATTGCATTTAGCAAATAGGAATCAGCGCAATTACAGTGTTTTTAAATTTGTGCAACTTCTCCTTTTCTTTTAAAAATACTTGATACATGTACAGTATTAAAATTTGCACAGTTATTTTCCTTTAAAATTAACAATTTTCTGGCGAGAAGCCAATACTATCTGCTGTTCTTGAAATTTTTTTTTTAGATAATTATGAGGAAGCAACGTTTTTACAGCCGTAATCGCGCTGTTTCCTTTTTTTTGCTAATTGCGATTCAATTATGTGTCATCTCGATATTTCCTGTCAGGTCTGAACAATGGTGCTTCTCCAAAAAGCTTCGACCATTTAAAGAGTAAACACGTTTGAATAAAGTCTTGACTCTATTACTTTCATAGCACTTCAAAAAACAAATTTACCAAGTTCTACCAATAAGAATGATACACATTAGCAACTGAAAGAAAAAAAAATTCAATTATAAAATATTTTTGAAAGGGATCAACAAGTTTTGCTGCTATTTTTTAATTTAAGTTTGACTTCCTCATCGGAAAACCTACTTTTTATCGGCGTATTTCAGTAATAACTGGACTAGATTTTGTAATACAGAACCACTGCTCCTGGCTTATTTTAGGAAGAATGTATTTGCTATCAGTCTCCCGATGTAAATAGGCGCTTTTGTGGGCGAATCAGAAGTAGTAGATCCTCATTTCAAAATTCAGAATATTTAGTGACATCGAAGTTATACGTATGTTTAAATTTGAACTATCAAAACTGTGGTGTAAAACAATGACTTGCCACCAAATCAGTCTATTGAGCGTGAACAGGGTTGCTGGTGGTCGAGAAAACCTGGAAAGTTAGGGAATTCATGGGAATCGACGGGGAATTTCGCAAACAGCCTTAAGCCAAAGTCAGCATAATTAAAAGAAAAAGCAACTTGGAAGTTGTGCTGAAAGATGAGGGAGGCCAGGGATTTCGAAAATTTTGGAATCAGGAAGAAAACAGAAGATGTCAGAGAAAAGTCAGTGAAAGACAGGGAATCTGCAAATGAAAACATTTAAGGAACCCCGATAAAAACTTTTCTCCATGTTAGTAAAATTTTGAATGTTTACTGTTCCTTGAGGTCAACAATCAATACAATCTCGTTTATTTTTTTTATTTCAGAGTGAAGCTGCGTGCGGCAAAGTTGACAAATATTAATTATCCTGTTTATCGCAACTGCTAGGTGCAACCTAGAGGAGTTGCCTATTCTAAAAAATGACAGTTACCTAGTTATTAGATTCATCGTCTTGTGTTACCGAAGCCTGTATAACAGTACGTCTGTGCAATCTGTGTTCACAATCGATTTTCAGCAGTTACTAACTAACTGCATCAATCAACCAAACGATCAACAGAGTGGATCTAAGAAAAACTGTGTGTGCCTTCAGAAACTGACTTTACTCCTTTGGTCTTTCAACAGCCTTATTTTTCTGATAGTTTTGTTGTAGGCCTTACGGATTTTTTTTATCTTCATATTTTCGTAGTTGATCACCATGGCCTGTCAGCTCTTAGCTCTTCTTTTATGTCTGGCCTGAAAATGAGTGAGCTTGCGTTTTTCTGATAAATCTATTTTCATAGGATTTCATTATTCTAACTGATTGAAACACAGCTGCCTTGATTTTGGAACCCTCTTTCCTTTTTCAAGACTGTAACAATGTTTGAAATGATTTTCAACTTCATGAGAGGATTTGAATTGTAAATTTCATCTTAAAGAAAAGAATAGATTGCTTCTTTTAAATGCATCTACCTTGAAGTACTTTTTAACGTTGCTTTCAATGGACCATCAAGCAGGGTATGAAATTTAGCACCACCATACCTGTTTTCATATCGAAATTTCATGTAAAACACAATGGATGACACATTAAACTCATAAGTTAAAAAATAACAGTTCTTATCCAATAACAGCTCACATAAAAACCCAGGGTCTACGTGAGTCAAATTAAGAATGAGTCTAATTTTGATGTATATTATGATGAAAGACGATGTTTGGTATTCCGACTTTTTCCTGACAAGATTAAAGGTACCTTGTACGGAAAGAGAAAGGAAATGCGTGTGATAAGAAGCTTTGATTATTTGCCGAACGCTAAAATTGATTTCAATGCACAATTCGTTCTATGTTAATCACAGTTTTTTTTTTTTTTTTTTTTTTTTTTTTTTTTTTTTTTTTTTTTTTTTTTACAAAGTTGCATTCACTGTTCAAAATGTAACCTGCAAACACTTATTGCTTAGCTATGTGTGAAAAACGTGTTTGGTGTGAAAACTTGATGAGAAAACATGTGCTGCAGTGCTCGATTTCTTACTTCTTCTAGTGGTCCATTGGCTTTCAAGTTGAGCTTTTAAAGCAGTAACCAGTAAAGTACACGGTCCCTAAAAGGAATGTTGGTTTGTGATATACATTCATCCTATTTTCTCTCAACTAATTTGGTGTTTGGTGTGTCTCTTTTTTGTATGAGTTTCTGTATTGTATATCTGTTAAATTGTTTTTCCAATATCATTTAAACTGTCATCAAAGTAGCAAGCACATTTGTGTAAGAGCACAAATAGAGCTCTCGTAGAGAGTACTGAATTTTCTCTGTATTCCCTTTTTTTCAAAAGGTTTATCTGTAGGTAAATTCAGAAACCATTGTATTTATGCACAGTTTGGATTTTATCACTGTTATGTTTTTAGACATGACATCAATGTCATGAACGGAAACCTCTTATAAGCTCAAGTGAAACCTTGATCTTCTTGTTAAGGGTAGCCGTTTTTGAGAGTATTTAACCCTTGAAGTCAACTTTCATGAAACAGGGACCAAATCAAAATAGTCTCTTTAATCAAGGTATCCAATTTATTTTCTGTTTTATCCCTACCTTTGTGTGATATAGCCATTATCTCAATCAAATACATGCTCTAGATTAATTAGAAATATCTTAGAGATCATTTTATTTTGTATTAATTTGTTAATAATTTTCTAGCCACCCTTGTATTTGTAAAAAAAAAAAAAAAAATGTTGTGAGGGAACCTGTGAAATCTTACTGTTAATTAGTTCATTTAATCCATTTTGTTTTTTATTTTTCTTATTATCACAAGTCTGCTTGTCCTCATCCCTCCCTCCCCCCCCTCCCCCCTCCAAGCTGAGTAGCTCTCAAAGCTTGTTTATATAGTAATCCCGAAGCCTCTTGACGCAAATAATTTATGAAGTAAAAATAATTTTCTCTTGTATCATTCAACTGTGAAAACATTTTTCATATTTTTCCACAACTTTCTTTAGATGTCGGTTCGTTTGTATTGATGCAATCTGATTCTAAATTACAGTAAAATGTTAGGAAAACATCTTTTTTCAGTATAGATTCATCTTTTATCAACAGGAACTACAATAGAGCCAGGTCATAGAAATTGAGATTAAATTATCTCCACCTGTGAGCGTTCAAATAAATGGATCAGGAACATCCCTTTTTTTAAGTATGGTCATAATTTCAATTTTCCATTCCATTTTCATCAGTATATTTTTTTCATGTTAAGCTTTCAAATTATTCTTCAAAAATTGTGCAGCGCCAAGGGGCTGCGGTGAATCAATTGGAGAGCTGTTGAGCTGAATGTTTGCAATTGAGTTTAGATAATTCCCGTTTTGTATTTTCTATGTTTTATCTTATTTGTTATTCTTTTTAGTTTTTCATTTTCACAATTTCCATAATTATTATGTCATGTTGGTGTTAAGTTTATATCGCACGCCTCTATTGGACTTTCCCTTCTGTTACATGTTGGCTCGGAGTTATAGTTTTAATGTTCAAATGATGTATCTCTTTGTTGTATTTAATGATCGTTTATTTTTGTAATGAAAAAAGGAAAGTCGAGAAATATGAAGTTTGAATTATGAAAGGACCAAGGAGTTACTAAATTGCTATCTGTAATTATTTTTGCTCCTCAAGAAGATCCTGCCTCTTATTTCTAAAACTAACACTCAGGAGACAAAATCAAGGAAAAATGTCGGGGGCCGTTTACAAAATATGCACCACTAACTTTTGGATTTTTTGAACCCCCATCCCCCCGTAAAGTGAGGTAGTCTGTTGAAATTCATAGTGAGCAAGTATTGCTTTTCACCTCATGTCTTTGTTTCATAATGTATTTAAACTGTAAATTCATAAGTAACCATGCTTACAGGTGTATTGTGCTAAGTGCAAAGTGTTTTCCGTTAAATATTATGTCCTCATGTGTACTTTTTTTACAGTTATCCTCAGCTGGTTTGATTGTGTAAATTGAATAGTTTTCAGAGCTTGATTATATTTATTAAAGTTTCTAAAGAAAAAAAGAATATTTTCACAGCTTTTTGTGCTCAAAACAAGAAAGAAAATCAAGCCAGTTCCAATAAACAGGGTCCTGAAGTGAACCACTCTTTTGGAAACAAAAGTTTCTTTGCCTCAACTTTCTTGAGCATGAAACGTATATTTTTCAATACAAAGTAAATATTTTCGTCTCTCTTTAGCCTACATTTTTTATCCTTACTATATCGTACATTACTAATTTAAGTCTATGTTCATATTTTTATAAATTTTACTTCTGTAATCGGAAAAAAATGAATCTAAAAACACAATGTGAACTGAAGGAAATTAAATACCGCACACTCGTAATCAGTTGTGAGAAAAGGCTACCATCACCTGTTGCAACCAGTTCCCTCCTTTTAGTCATTCCTTATTTAGCTCTGCCAGAATTTTATTGGATCCTCGTTAGTATTATTTATCATTGCGGCAATGCCATTCTATCTGACTATCTCCTGATTCATGTATCGCAATGTTGTTCTCAGTTTTTTATTTTTATTTATTTATTTTCCTGTATTATTTTCTTTTCTTTTTTTGTCATCCACATTGTATCCAGCTAAGAATCACTCTGTTTCCCCGTTTTGTACGACGCAGTATTTTAATTTTGTATACCTTTTGTTATTTAATTTTATCCCATATTGCCGCGTAGAAGCTTGATGAGACTGAACTCAGTGCAATGAATATTTCATTCAAAATGCGTTATCATATTGAAAATTCGCAAGTCCTGAATGTCCTTTCCACAACTTAACTTTTTTCAACAGCTGAAACTATGTGTTTCATTGGACTCTAAAGTTTGACATCATTATTTTTCCTCATTCCTTTGATGTTTTCAAAACTCTAGCATTGTTTCTTAAATTTTTCTCTTTTGGTTACCAAAATTACGCTGATTTGTTCGAACTATTCACATTATCTCGTGCGAAAGCAGAAAATGTTCTCTTTGTGGCAAATCATCATTCGAGGTAGTTTTAACATTCCAAATCATTCATTCTACGTCAGCTTTTTGTTACCCTGTAACTTGTGATCTTGTTTAATTCACTGGATTTTTTTACCTTCAATGATCCATCCTGCGGAAGTTTGATGCATAATTTTAAAGAATCTGTTGAATCATATCGTATTGTATTTTATTACACTGCAAGAAAAAGTGTAACTGTAAAATCATATTTTTCTTAATGATCGTTTTTCTAGTTTTAAATTTCACCATATTGTCAAGTTTCTTCAGAATAGAAACCTTTCAAAGGATCCCTGCCCTCAAAAATCAGGCTCCTCCTTTGGAAACTGAGTATTCTGTGCTCATATTTTATAGTTTTGTATTTTAACCCAATTTCGTAATGCCTCTTTGCAAGAGGATCATTATTTAGTATCTTACATGTACTTCTACGAAAGTAATAGACGAGATGTCCTTACTTTATTTATCTAGTTATTTGTAATTTTGAATTTTTGTTTTTTGTTTAACTTTTAAAACGTAGAAATTCTATATGGTGACCTGTTATACCTTGTGTATTCAACTTTGAATCGGGAGTTTAAATTAAGAGCTCATCCTTTGTGAGTGGTTGATTTTGAATGATCTCTGTATTTGCTATGTCTCACACCCCTCAGCGAAAGTTCTTTGCTGTCAAGGTGTTGAATGCATAGTTTTAAAGGTCTCTTGAGCATGAAATTCTGCAACCTTGAATTTATTCTCAAACGTGAATGTATCAATCATAACTAAATGCTGATATTACACCATGGGTTTTCTTCAGTGGAGAGCGCAGTAGTTGAGACTTGGATGGTAATGTGGTAGCCACGGAATTTCCGTTTTTTTATATTTCTTGCTCTCTCCTCTTGAAAAGCAGCTTAAGCAGCCTTCCTCTTCGCAGAGAGGTGAACAAGGAACAACTTTATTTATGAAGATGTTTTCTTGACATCCATGTAACTTGTTGATCTCCTCCTTGCATTTCATCTAAATTTACACGAGCAAAAGCATCAATCAAGTTGTTGAACTTGAACTTCTGCTGAGTCTTGATAACAAGGGAAAATAGTTTCTGTCCAAAACACAAGATGGGCAAGTCAATCGCTGTCACCTAACGTTTGTGTGTCCTATATCTGCCCGTTGAGGGCTGTAACATACTACGGTTTGCATCCTAGCTTTAAACCAGTTGGTGCAGGACGCAAAATAGGTGATGCAAATGGACCTTCCCGTCTTGTGTCTCCGGTGCAAACTCATTTTTCCTGTCAAGAACCGGCAAGTATTTCACGAAGTCTGCATTTACAGAATTTTAATCGTGTGTTCGCCGAAGCTTTTTCTTTGGAGGTCGCTTCTGATCACTTCAATTGCATTTCTCAAGTCAACTGCTCGTAATTGATCACACCAAGATCTTGAGTATTTTTCCAGTCGGAAAGTACAAGTCTGCATACCTCCTGAAAATCAGGAATGCAGTATAAACCTGCGACTTCTTTTATTCACTCTCAATCTCTGAAGCTCAATGATAAAAATCAGTCTTCACATCATCCTGTCGTAAGCAATTAACGAGTGAATCTGAAGAGACTCAGTGTACATTGTTTCAAACAAGGATTAGGCTTTGAAAACCACGTCCATCCACCGTGCGACTTTTTAAAGTTGGCTTTGCCAACAATATTTCTTTTTCTTCTTAGATTTTATCTATTTATATTTACAATTTCAAGTATTTGCATAAGTGTGTACAAGAGATCTTTAAATTTGTACCATATTATCAATCATGAAGGAGATACCTGTATCTTTTGTTACTTTTTTACGATCATAATCATTGTTGCCCTAGCATGTAGTCTTTTTTTATATTTGTTTTTTCTTTTGATATTGTTTAATTCTATTTTATTTTCTAGAACATTCATATCTTTTTAACACATGAAAAAATTTAGTTTTCCCGAACTTGAGGGCCCGATCTATTACCCAGCAAAAATCAAGAACTAAATTGTAATAGTCAGAAGAAAGCAGGACACCTAAATACGTATCTTTTTTGTTGAGGAAATACGTACCTCATAATATTGAGTTTAGTGCAAGGAGTGTCCGAAAAGGAAAACGTAATAATGGCTTCTCCTTGAATTACAACATTCCACGAAGCGCAATATTCTTTAAAAATAAATTCATGATTTTGCATCTGGAACATTGTTAAGCTTATTGCCGTGCACATCACTTTTTTATATGAATGATGATTTTGAAAGTTGAACATTCAATATTGAAGCCTGGTTTGCAGTTAGCGTTTGTTCTACAATCAAATAAATCTGTACTATTTGTATTACTAATCAGTGTGCATTAAGTGTAGGTATTATTCTATTTTTATTCCTTGAGGTACCACCGGTTAGTCTTGTAAGCAGTTTTGGGATCTTTCTATGTTAATGTATTACTTAAACGGTAATTTTTCTCACCTCCTTCATTCATGTGTTTCTATAGATGTATTAATGTACGTTTGCATATATTTGTACCTATGTATGATTGTACCTTCTCAATGCACATGATTTCGTAAAAGTACTTAAAAGCCAGTTTTTAGAGACGTAAAATTTGGACAGGACGGTATGTCTTGGGAAATTTTGTGGCCCAGATGCATTTATGAAGAGATGATTTTCGGAAGACCTGCTCAATACATTGATTCCTATTATAAATTACCTAACTCTATTTTTACGTATCATCAAATCTTTTGAAAGCTGACTAAAGGTTTTGAAGTTGAGTTTTGGTCAGTTTCAGAGTTTCTTGTCACCTGTTCATTTTGTTATTGATCATAGTTTGAGTGAGTCCAAATTTTATGCGCTTGATTTGTTTTTAGTCACCATCTAATTCATGACCTTCGAATATTTTTGTTGTTAATATCAAGATACTTGAACTACTTTTAAACACTATTTTCTTTACGGCCTCTTTGTCAACTGAAAAACATGTGCTTCATAGACGACTAGGGAAGGTGCAAATTGAATTATACTCTTGTTTTTCTTGTGAGCGGGAGATCTAAGTTTTTTTAACTAGTACTGAATAAAGACATCAGTACCCTAGTTGGGAGTTAATTTCAGTAATTTTTTTATGCAAAGCATGCTCTACCTGAAATTTTGATGAAAAAAAAAAGAAAAAAAACATATCTGAATGTTTAAATTTGCACTTACCTACCGTCCTGTGGCCCATGGAAATTACATTCAAGGAGATCCCTACCAGAAGTAAACAAATACTAAATCGTCAATCTATTTCATTAATATACCATTTCTTTTTTTTTTTTGAATGGCGTAGTGTAGAGAATATCCTTTAATTTTATTGTTATTCAGCTGCCTCTGCCCAAAACATCTCTTTCAAAACTTCAAATTCAAGCTAGAACTGTATCAATGTGAATTATTGCGTTTGGATTTGTCAAATTACATGTAGCTGAATAGAGCTTGTGAACCTTTGCTATGTCAGCAACATTAGTCGTCGTCATAGCCGCCGCCCCCCCCCCCCCCCCCNTTCAGGTTCAAGCTGAGTTATATTTTTTGGAACAAAAAGCCAAGATGATTGAAGGTGATCAGTGGCTCTGAGACAGGGCTTTGTTTTAGTCATCTTTTGATGGCTAGATGTTGACTAAAAACTGACAAGTTTGATCATTTGATTTGTTCTGTTGTTTAAGTGTAGGTAATCTATTTCAATTTTATTGTTATTGTCTGTTGATTATGATCCTCTTGTCTAGCATGTGTTATTGTAGTGGAATAATTCTCACCTTGTTGTAAAATAAAAGTCAAACATAATTTGCATCCATTTGCCTTTTGTTTCCCCCACCGAACGGTTTTCAGTTAAAGCACTGAGAAAATCCACTTGAATTACAAAATCAGTCCATCACCAATGAAGTAGGCATGCTTTCAACTTGTATATGTATTGGCTAGGATGCCAAATGGTAGTAATGATAGGATACGTAAAAATTTCATGTGATGAATTTTATTCTGAAATTTGGCAAGACTTTAATTTTGTTTCAAATGATTTAAGCACACGCACAACATGTTAAATTTTCTCTATGTTCAGAGTAGAGATCAATCTCGAGTTTTTGAAAGTTATGCCACTCAAAGATGCAGTAATTTGGACCTCCCTTCCCATTTTAAAAACTCCTTTTATCCTAAAACTTCCCTTGCTATCACCTCTTTATTCCTTTTCATTCACCAATTGCCACAACCTAGTTTAAAAATTAAAAATGCTCAGAAAACAAAAAAAGGGAAACTGTGGAACAAGTGATAAAATGAATTAAGGCAGAAACGTTCTTGCCTCAGAGAAGAAATGTATGTTAAGGTAGGCTATATTAATGGCCAAAATTGGAAGAGGATGGACACTCGTTTCTACTAAAATGAAAGCATTTTGAATTGGCGTGTACTTTTGCGTCTCAGGAATATTTGGTCAGCAATTTTGTGCAAAAATTGAGAAAATCATAACAATCTTATGCTAACTATAGGAACGTTTTACCCTGAGAACAAAGGCCAAAACTCGTCCGATAAATAAAAAAAAAAAATGAAAAAAAAAAAAAACCTGTAGAAATATGATTTTGCAAGATTGAGAGTAGAATTTGTTTTATGAATTCAACTATGGCGCTTACCATTTTTCTCGTTTGTTCCTCTGCATGAGTTTTCTCCTTCTAAATACTTGTAGAGATTATCGCTAAGAAAAAATGAGAAAAATGTTAAGCAAGAGGGATTTCGGTTCCTTTCTCAAAAATTTGAAGAGAAATGTACTTCTCGTCACTGGTTTACATTTGAAGATATGAAATCAAAATCAATGTGAAGTGTACCAGGAGTAACTGTTATCCTTTTTGTGGTTCAGCTCATTTGTGCGAGTAATGAAGATAAAAAACACTTTTAATTGATCCAATCTTTCTTCATTATATCTAGAAATCTGTACAAAATTTAAAAACCATCACGAATAAAATTAAGATGAATAGTTGAGACGCAGCTCATGATATCATCATTGAATGAAAAATATATACAATCGGTGAAATAAATGCAGAAAGATCTTCATCTTTTCTTGAATCCATACTTTTTCCGCTCGTAGAAAAGATCTGTCTTTGAACTGCCAAGGTTGACGATTTTAGGACATCCATCTCTCTGCAAAAGAATGATAAAAGTAAAGCTTACACTAGAACCTGTATGTACTTTTTTAGAATTTAAAAATAGCTACGTGAAGTTCAGAATTAAATGAACAATTTAACTACCGACAATTTAACTGTGTGTTTGATTGGCTCAGGACTCGGCAATCTACGTTTTAAAATAAACACATTTTTCATAAGAACTTTAATGACTTTATGCTTGCTATTGAATTAACTAATTCATTGGTTTATCAGCTCTTTTAGAGAGGGCGAGAGATTAAGTCTCAATATTATTCAGTCTTGCCTTATCCTTGTAACAGAACCACTTCATTCCATATGATTAATGGATTGATTAATTTAATTGATGGTTGTCATCACAAGTTATGGAAAATAAAGTTGATCAACATGATAATAAATTATAAAAGTACGAATCTTTCAGTTTCTTTTTAACCTATACATATGAGGAAAGCCAGAAGCTAGGAACACTCATATCATCGCTCCTCTGATGTAAGGGTGCATCTCAATTCCCACATAAGTCCCAGAAAATATGGATATAGATGTAAAACAGGGCTGAATAGAAATTGAGACACGCTCTTCGTCAGTAAGGCGATGAAATGTGACATTACCAGTACTTGCTCACTAGTGTACGGAGTACTGGACAAGACAGCCCCAAAATACGACTTCATTACTGCTTCTTTACATAGCAACTGTGATGTACTTTAGGAGAGTATTAGACGATTAAAAAACTAGGGTACATTGACACATAATATTTTTCAACAATGGTTTTGCAGGTCCCATCTGCACATAGTGTTGAGTTAGAAGACATTTTCTATGAGTGAATTTTGGCAACTGAGTATTCTAAAAAAACAAATTTAGCATAGTTAGTGCTGTGGCTCTAGAGAGCTGTTTGAGCACAGTTAATTTTTACTTTAATATTGCTTGAGTTAAACATTGCTTCACTGGCTCATCAGATATTGTTTCCACTTTATCTTAAGATGACATTACTGTCACATAAGCATGTCTTTTGAGGAATGGTTAATGAGCGCTTGAGTCATTATAAAAAGCCATTGCTACGCTGAAGAATTTTTGAGGGGAAACTAGACATTTTTCCCAATCAGTTACTTGCTTTAAAAAATGGAACTTACATCTTTTTCTTGTATTGTGCATTCTTTACAATAATATGCATCAGATACTCCAGGACCACCACAGATTACGCATCTACCTTGATAGGAACCATAGTTACATTCATCACAAATACGGACTAACGTGCACGGCCGGACATAGGAGTCACAAATTACACACTTTCCATCGCATTTTTCACACAATCTGCCAATAGCTGAAAAAAGAATAGGGGTCGGTTGATTACCATGTCTGAATGTAAAAAGAAAGAAATGGATGAACCAAGATTGTTCTGCTACATAATATGAGTTTCTTTTGTTGAAGAGGGTTTTCTCTCATCTCTATTCGAGTATTAATTTTTGAAAGGGCACCGGACCAACATTATGACTTGAAATTTTTACAAATCATTCTTCGCCAAGTGTAGAAAAATCGCTACCATTTTCCAGAAATGATAAGTAGTCGTTTTCCATGTAGAAAATATAGTCTTTTCCTTTTTTCTTCAAGTAACTGTCGAGGGCTAATTCCATCCATCTTCACAGCGTCTCAAGTGCCAGTCCCTAAGAGTAGTTTTGTTTACCTGAAAGTACCGGCCCTACTACTGAAACACCACAACAGTATGCCAGGAAGTGTGCAATGCCGCATATCAAGAAACGCAGTACAGCAGTTTCACTGATGATGTGCAACAATAATTATGTAAAAATTGGTTCTATGGTCTTCAAGGTTTGAGCTGCAAACGATGCTGGGCAATCCAGCGATTATTTTTTTTAAATACTGTCAAAGCTCTCTTTCTGAATGCAAATTATTAAAATTTCCAGATATGTATTTTTTTTGTATTTTCTCTATGACTCCAAATATCACAGTCTGAAAAAAAAATTTATTGACTTCGGTTATAATTGAATCAGTGAGAGTGAAAACAAACCAACTCGAAATCAAATCGAATAAAAAACTGCCGAGTAGATGGAGAAAAGCTTTTAGGTGTCAGAGGACAAGTACTTACTTAGGGACATTTTAAAGGCCCAAGTTGACATAGAGGCGCCACATTAATGACTTCTATAACCAATGGGCATTTTTAAGTTTCCAAGTTGATTTATTACTTATCATCCTGACTGATTTAATCATGCGAATAGTTTCCTCTGTTTTGAGGGATACATACGTTCATGCCAGTAGCTCAGTGAGCCTGAGTCTATATCTTCCTGCTATCTGATTGTTGAAACTGAGTCGGCCTGAGGCCTTGTCTCCACGAGCCGTTTCACGAGATTTGTCCCAGGGAAAAATCCCACTTACGAAGTTGGGAAAAATATTGAGTTAATCAATATTTTTCCCAGTACCAAGTATGGTACTTGTACCCCTAGGATCCACTGAGAGAAGAAGAAGAAGTGAAAACGAATTGTGCGATATTTTATTCATTACTAAATTGTTAATGTTTGTTTAGTTAAAATAATGTGTCTAATTGTCAATTGAGTGCAATTATTATAATAATCCCGGTTAAATACTCCACTTAAACTAATTTATCTTCCCACGCAAACTAGTAGGACTGTATGAGCCCCGTCCCGTGGAGACGGTAACTGGGAAAAATCCCAGAAGTTTCATTCCTGGGATTCGAACTTGGGACAAATCCCATGAAAACTTCCCGTGGAGACAAGGCCTGACGAGACAGGACATAGCCCTATCTAGAACATGGAATATATCCCATTTTGATGTCTCATCGGGCTGCATTAAACTTGCAATAGTCAGCCTGCTGGGACCCTGAAAATTAGGGCACAACATTCAATGATTTCTACAGAAGTGAGAAAGGCTTCAGCCAAGAAGTATCCGACTTCTTGGACTTACACCTTGCAATTACAACGACCCAAACTGTAAATTACTGACGTGCTAGTGTGCATTGTTTCTTAAAATATCAATACTTATTTTACTGGGGATTTACAGACAAAAAACAAGAACTGAATCAAACGTAAAGTTTGGTCCATCACACAACTACGATGACAGTACTCACCAACACCAGGTTGCTTCCTGCAAAAAATTAGATCAGGATGATGCTTTGCCATTGGATTTACTAAATGGTTGAAGAGGCAGAATTTCGTTTGTCACGAACAAATTAAAATAGAATTTCGGGGCAAAAGACAGGGAGACGCCGGTCGAACACCACGATTACAAGAAGCAAGCCGCAGGCGTTGTTGGTTGTAGAGGTTATGTTGCTATAGATAAACAAAAGGGAGGCTGCCAAATTTCAACTAAAGTTAAAATCATGTAACTTTTGATTGCAATGTTCAATTAATTTCTGAGACTAATAAAAGTTCAGAAGAAAACTTCACTTAGGGGAAAAAAGGATTTTATGAAAATTCCAGTTACACTGGTAAAAACGGGTAAATTAAATAATTAATTTTATTTCAGAAATATGACGTCATCCTCTGTAGTCGGCTCAAATTTTCTAACCTATGATTGTAAACATACAAGTCTGTGACGAAAATAAACAAATTTTAGACGAACATTTCCAGAACGCAAACCCCATTGAAGTATAATCTAATTATCATCATTAAACCGTGAATATCCTCCTTCTCTAATAGTTTTGGTGAGTCAAATTTCCATGATATATAATCATTATAATTTGCTGTTTCTACCCAGCTTAGACCAATGTTTGCTGGTCTTTGTCGTAACTGTTCTTGAACCGAGCGTCCAACTTATCTAGTAGAAGTGCTCAGCTAAATTAATGGAACTACTTATTTTTACTCCTAAATGATGCAGAATCATGAAAATGAAGGAAGTCGAAACACTTTCATCACCAAGTTTTGAAAAATTTGCCTCCTCCAAGATGTCAAGGGGTGTATTTGTAGGCAAGAGTTTTTCAGAGGTCTCGCTTTGAACGTTCTTGATGGAAGTTGTGTTAGGAACTCATTCTACCAGGCATTTCTTTACAGCCAAGCTCTTCAAAATTAAGGCTTTTATGCCGAGTGCAATAAGTGAATAATTTTTGACATTAAAGTTTATTAAGGTACTGCTAGAAAAAGATGAACGTAGTTAAATTTTTAATTTTCGTACTTCTTAGTCATGTAATACCATTATGTAGCTGTTGACTAGCTTAGCGTTATGTATATATATATGTTCTGAAGTTAGGAGTTCTCAAGTATTTTAATTGAGGGACATGACAAACGATACATTCATCAAAATTCTCCTTCAAAACTTGGATGCTCCATCTGAAATTACCGATGCGATGTCCATCGATTACGGAATTGGCTTCTTTATCAGATTAATTCAGCATTTGATTTCCTTCATTAGTGACTGATTTTGCAGGAATGTGATTTTTTCTTGCTAGATAATGACCACAAAACGGCTTGTCTACAATCTTTCATAGCTCTTTATCCAGTAGCAACCTAAAAGTCTGAATTGTTTCTCCAAATTGTGCATTGTTGTAAAAAATTATCTTTTAATTACAGGGACAGTTTTATCATGCACAGTAGATCCAAATCTAGTTTGAAGAAAGGCTCTCAGAGGTCGAAAGATCGACCTTGCTCAAGCCCAACGAGAGGCCGAGAGTCGAGGCAAGCAATCTCAGAAGACTCGTCTGACGAAACAGAATGTTCTCTCTCTTTTCCTGTCTTGAAACCGGTCGACAAGAGCAAAAGATTACCATGTTATTCAGCAGGTACTGGTGTTCATTCTTTTGAAGTAAATGTATTTGATGTATTTTATTATTTGAGGTGCTTTGTTGAAGTGAATTGTCTAGGAATACGTGGAAACAGAATTGCTTGGTGCTAGTCGGTCATTGTTTGACTCTGTCTAAATTATTCGACGACTTGCATGTTTATATCTGAATGCCCAATATTTTTACTGAATGCTAAAGAATCTCCCAAGGTTGATGTGACTTTGGAGTTGCATTTTGTAAACAGCAGTATCTGTTAAGTTTACTTTTTTTTTTTTTTTAAACTACCTCAAATAGCCCACAAGGGCTAGTCCTTGCGCTTAAGTCCCGTCCCTACAACCAGTCCCAGGCAACCATTGTTTGAGACTATCAAACTCGGGTCGCCTGGCCGGGAATTGAACCCGGGACCTCCCGATCATAGAGCTAGCGCTACAACCACTACACCATAGGAGGCCGGACTTCGACAACTCAGCTATGAAGGATAGTTTTGATTAGTATGAACTTAGTTCCTTGTTAACAGGATCAAGCAGAAATATTCAAAAAGTTTGTCTGTAAGATATAAATTGTCAAGCAACATTTTTTACTCGGATGCAATTCGTGTAATTTGGCTGCTGCCAATCTACGACTGAATCTTTGAAAAGAGGTAAACACAAAATAATGTTCTTTGCTGGTGATTGATTGCTATTTGCATCAATCAATGTCCTTTTTTCCGTGGATTGTCACATTTTACTGAATTACTGCGCTACTGTCTTTTGGTAGTGTTGAACAAATCAAAAGATGAAGGTATCACAATGGAAGATCTTGACGGGCTTCAGCTTGAGTTGGAAACAATGCTCTCATCTGTTGCTGTTAGAACGAGGACATTGACAAGTGAAATTGCAGCTCTGAATGTATTGGAAGAACAACGTGACAAGAAGGGACAGCTAGCATTGCTCAAAATCGTAAGTAATGACTATTTTTGCTGCCCCTGGAGATGCTCCAAAAGGACTACAGACGGAATACAATGAAATTGGATGCAGGCTAAATTTTGATATTATTTGATGAGATGTTCCGTACTACCTCCTGAGCACAATAAGCCTTTAAAATCAACTTTCTTTTTGCCAATGTTAAAAAAGGCAGGACTGAAATCACCTTATCGAATAATATTGAAATTTAACTGGCACTAAACTTCATAGTATCCAGTGCGTGGTCACTACTTTCCAAAACACTTTGAGACCTCTCTGTATGTGTTATACTGATATCAAACCTGGATTGAACCTCTCAGCAGATTTTTTTGGTTTTTAGATCAGGGACGCAGAATACTCTTTGTTCCTTAATAATTGGTCGTTTGAGTTTAAAAAATGCTTTTTCCTCAAATTTTTAAATCATGTCAGACACAATTTTTCGGATATCGCACTATTTTTTTGCCTTTGAAACTGGCCCTCCCATCACCATGCACTGCTGGTCGCAGGTTTAAAAAGTCTCCTTATCCCTGGTGTCCATGATCTACGAGTATAATGATGTCCCAGATAAGGGGTAGAGCTTTATTCTCTCATACAAAAATTGAGTTTCATGAGGCACAAGAATTTGTTTCAGGATGTCTGAAAGGTTGAGCATGTACCTAGTTAGAGAAACTGCATCGTGTAGGGAAATATTTTTAAGTGTTTTCTACTATTCAATCTATTCTTACCATTGTTTCACAGAAAAAGAAAAAGACGGAAGAAAAATCTAAATTGAACAAACAGAGGGAAATCAGCAATACTGCAGACACGCAGAATTCTAGTCCCAGGTCTAAGTTGAAATCCAATGCATCATCAGGGAAAAATTCTCCTCCTTCGGTAAGTTGAAATGAACTTTAAATAAAAACATTTTTCAAGTTTCCTAAATGTGGTCCTAAAAATTTCAAATGTGTTCTGATCTGAATGAAGTCATTCCCCCATTACCCTCAAATAGTTAAGAAAGGATGTATATTTTAGTTTTTTTTTCTTTTTTTTCCACAGTTAACAAGAAGTTTTATACCCTTTAAGGTTAATATAGGTAAAGAAAGAAAAACAGGAAAGAAAAATAAAAAAAATATTGTTTAAAGTCGTATTTTGTTCAAAACAACAAATTGTTTCTGTTTTTTTTTCTTGTTTCTTTTGCATGATTCTGAACAACCAATGAGAAAGCGAATTCCAATTTTAGGTCGGAAAACAGTGTTGTCTTGGGCAACAACATAGAAATGACTTGCCTCTGAGAACGTTGCAGTTGTTGTACAACAATGTTGCTGTAGGGGTTCCCAAATTTTGCTTGCGAAAATAAGCCCCGCCCCTACAACACAAAACAACTTCGAACAAAATGCGATTGTTGCTTGTTTTCCCAATATGTTGCGAGTGTTGCCTACGACAAAATACGACTTACCTTAAAAGTTTTGATAAAATTTATGTATATTAAATCTGGCTACTATAACCAACTGTTTCACATATTTCATACATTAAGTACATTTAGCTTATTCTTTTCTCTGATATTGCAAGGAAACATGCTTACAAAATGTCCTACTTCATGTTTAAATTCTTTTAACCCATGATTTTAAATTTTTACAGACGTCTCAGCATCAATCCACAAAATCTGGTGAACCATCCAAGATGCCATTCATTCCAAGAATCGATACGCCAAATAAATTTTGGGCATTTGTTGGGACTTATTGTGCAGATGTCACACCTGAACATATTCAGGCAAGTTCATTTTCCTGAAATTTGTTTAGTCTCTTTTTTACTTTGCAAAATAATACAGATGCAAAACACATTATTTCTTTAATTTTTTTTCAAGTTCAGCGAACATTTTAAAAACAATGTCCAAAAGGTAGTAGCACTGATTTATGTATATTGAAGTGTAGGTAGCCAAGTGCCAGAATCAATGTAAAAGTTTTGATAGGAAAAACTTACATTTCATCGCTGATTACATCTCCAGGGTAATAATGGTAACAATTTAATCGCCCTTGATGTAACAAAGAGAAAGAAAACAAAACATGGGAGATCAAAACTTAAGAAATGTAGATATCTGAAAGATGAGAAAGCCTTGGGATCCTGACAACAATACTGCTGTGCTAAAAAAGAACATTGTATGACCCCTTAGACGTTGCCAAATATCCTTTGCTAAAAAACGACTTTTCTGGAAAACTTGTGAACTTTGAATTACTTCCGAATTTTCAGAAGATTTTGCTGATAATTTCATCTGAATCATCGAAAAATTTAATGAAGAAATATTTATAAATCTCCTATAGAATTAATATTATATGGGAGGAAATTTGGCAAATTCAGAATGTTCATTCGGCGTTTTTCTGAAGCATGGCAGAACAGAAGAGATAGTAAAAACATACTGTCACCAAGTAGGAAATCACTTACCGTGACAGCACTGATGCGGGAAAATAAACTGTGAAGTGGGAGAGCAGATGTTTGAAAGATAAAAACTTGTGATTACACTTGAAATAAGCAAATACTTTTATTCAGACCATTTACAGAAATATTGAAATAAAAAGACTGATTTGCAGATCATTGGAGAGGTATGTTGCGTGTAAGTGGAGCTGTGATCCCAGTTGCAGAATACTCTGCTAACAGAGAAAATAATCAAGGAAGTTTTCAAGAAATTACGTCGGCTAGTTTTTCAAAGATAAAATCAAGTATGGTGGGAAGTCTGCAATGTCGAAAACGGAGATATGTATGGGGTTTTGCATTTTGGCCATGGATATTTAAATCATATTTCGATTTTCAGTGTAGTTTTTGTCTCTTAGAGAGTGTCCAAAATTTTACCTCTTATCCTATGTTGGTCATTTTTTTTATTTCATCTCTCTTTTTCCTCCAGTATCTCGAATCATTGCTGAAAATGCAAGAAAATGACGAAGAATTGATGAAGATCCCACCTCTTGGAGAGCACTACTCCAAAAAGTGGAAGGAAGAAGAAATGGACAGCTTAAAGAACAACCTCAGTCCCTCCAAAACTCCAAAACCATCCAAAGCACACATAGAAAATGATGTTAAAGATATGCTGAAGAAAGTGGATCCTAGGTAACTTTCCCGCTTCAAGAAAGTACAATAATTGCTTGATTTAATTTGACTTGTTCTCTTTAAAAAAATACAGCATGGAGATACTCTCATTTTGTTATTCTGTAGATATGTTTGCAACTGGAGGCGCTCGTTTAGGATTTTAGACTAATTTTAGACTTCAGCTTAAAGAACAACCTCAGTCCATCTAAAACTCTAAAATCATCTAAAGCACATATAGAAAATGATGTCAAAGCTATGCTGAAGAAAGTGAGTCCTAGGTAACATTCCCGCTTAAAGAAAATAAAATAATTGCTTGATTCAATTTAACTTGTCCTCTTAAAGGAAATACAGCAGGAATATACTTTCATTTTGTTATTCTGTAGATCTGTTTGTAACCGAAGGCACTCGTTTAGGACTGTAGACTGAATTCTTGAGGGACCAAGGCATGAATCATCGCATGAAAATATCTTACTAGATCTGGGAAGGAAGGGTATCGATAAGGGCTGTTTTTGGGCCTACCCCAGCTGAAGTTTCGCAGTTCTATGATTTTTTGCTCAATGCAGGTCTAAAATTTTTGCTCAATGAAGGTCTCAAATTTGCGGAATGGGTCATGATTTAGTCTATGCCTTAGCATAGGTCTGAAAGCCGATTTTGGCTAAAAATACAAATGTTCCCGCATTCAACTGCAAATCCGCAAAACTCCCATTTGCCACCATAACTAGCCTTCAGATCTATGTTTAGGCTGGTCTTAGATCCAAAAAATGATCAAAAATGATGCAGTCCGTCAAATACAGACCTTCAACGAGCAAAGAATTGTACGGTTAAGGAACTTCAGAGTGGAACAAAAACGGCCCTTATCAATACGCTTCCTTTTACAGTGAAATGCAACATCATTGTTGTACTGTTATGTATGAGATCAGAAAAAAAAATCCTTTATACAAATGCAAATCAGAGAGGATATTTTGTTTAACAAGTGGCTCATAGATTTCGATGGCTAAAGTGCAAACCGCGTATCTCCGTTTGCAACACGGCAGACTTCCTGTCATTCTTTATTTTTGCATTAGAAAAGAAGTCAACTTAATTTTGTAGGCTTCTTTGATTTTTCTTCTCTGTTAGTAAAACATTCTGTATTAATTTCAAGCTTTGAAATCTCTGATGTTAATTTTTTTCTCTCTGAAAAAATAAAACAAGAGCAGAGATTTTGAAACACTGCAATAGAGACATGTCGATTTGAGCTTTAGCCCTTTGATGTAATTAAGTACTTAAGAAACAAGTTCACAAATGCACGGAAAAGTTCATAGGTGTCTCCTTACAGAGGTGCAGGAAGTTAGCCTCCTAATTTTTTAAGGCAGCCCTTATCGTGCTGTTCACATACGACTAATTTCTCATCACATTTTTTAAGGCCCTCACATTGCTGCCCACTGTTCACTATTTTCTTTGTACCAAAGAGCACATTACACTGTTTCCTTCGCAAAAAAGCAGACATTGTAGTTTCCATCTCAAAGAATAACGCGTTTAATGATTTCTTTCTCTTAAAATGATGCATTCGCTCAACAAAATATCACTAAATTTTACAAAAGAAAAATCCCAAATGCCTCCCCATTTTCCTCTCTTTTCAGGCGCCTTCAATATTCTCCTGAGTTCGAGCACTTCCTGTCCCCCGTCTCCCTAACTAATCAAAAACAACTAACTATAAATCTCTACCTGTGTCTTGATTTACAATTCTCTCATCTCCCGTAGAACATGAGAGGGAGTGCCATTTCAAACAAATTTTTATTTTTATTTTTCTAGCATAAAGGACTTAGTTTCTACACCAATCGCTCAAAGACTCATGGCATCATTAATCGAAGAAAATGTCAGTCTACCATTGCAAGAATCTTTCAGTATGAATAAAGTGAAAAGTAAGTTGTATTTCCTTCCATTTCTTATTTTAAGTAGTTTATCTCATGGCATTCCTTTTTTATTTCAGCAGAATTGTAAGTTCTAAGTGGAACAAGCATTTTTACTCTGATAACTTGTTTTTCATTAGAGTTGCAACATATCGGGGTAGTGATAAGGAATTTTTGCAGGGTTGTAATATTGTTTTTCGCATGTAAAGTTTAATGAAAAACGACAAATTTATTAAGATACACAGAGAAGCATCCTTAAGGGGAGAAAAAGCTGATTACTATCTGACCAATCAAAAGCTGACAGTCGAGTTAACATAGTAAAGGTGATGCTTGAAGGTATTCTCAGCCAATCAATAAGCCCAGTTTCCCCCGCCTGGTTACGTATGAGAGTCCGTCAAAAATATTTTTTCAAAACATGTTTTCTTTTCCATCAAGGGTTAAACAAATCCGAAAAAATCCCCAAAAGCTTAGTACACTCCGCACTAGCAGAAAATGAATTTAAATAAATAGGTGCCACTGAACCATGGATTCTCAAATGGTAATTCTTTCTAGTATTTTGAACGATAACGAAAAATGGTCATGGGAATAAAGTTCAACATCGGAGAATAATGAAAGGGCAATTGATCAATAAAACGGTTGCATTGGCATGAAAAAAAGGAGTCAAAATGCATTGTAGTAGAATCTTGAAAAATTATTCGGATTGAAAACTTTAAGTACTGCAAACTAAATTCTTGAATGTAAGAAATGAATTAGGCACTGCACTGATTTTAGCACGCTTTCTATTTGAACCGACTTTAACAGAAACATAGTAAGTTGTATTTTGAAAAAAAATGAGTGATTAATTTGAATTCAACCAGCCATGAACTTTCCTCTGTCAAAAATTCAAAGTTAAGAAAAAATATTTGAAACGTAAAAACAGTCGTCAAGCTTTGTTCTCACCATCAACACGTATGGAGGAAAATTTCAAATCTCCTCTCCTTGGTTCAAACTTTATGCTTACAAACCCATGTTTAAAGGCCAATTCACAGCATTCAACTTTTCATTCAACCCCTCTTCCGATTCTGTGAATGAAAAGTTGGGTCCTTTGATACTGACATGAGAACACAACAATTTCATGAATAGTTGAATGGAAACTTGAGGGTGACATCACATCCAACTTTTTGTTCAACTTTGTTAAAAAGAAGTTTAGCAAAGTTGAACAGAAAGTTGGAACAAGATCCTTCAACTGACATTGGATGAAGCTATATCCTTGCAAAGGTAGCTGGTAGAGATGATGGAAATCCGTTTGGCGATATCCCACAGCAACAGCAATTGAATCAAATTTTGTTGCGCTCAACTTTCCATTGAACAATTTGTTTCCTTTTGTCAAATGTAAAGTTGAATAGTGTGCATACGGCTGAAAAAGAACGGATTTCTGAATTTTTGAATCAATTCCTCTTCTTCCTCTTCTACCTTTTGACTAGGGCCGTGACCCTGTTGAATTAATTGAGATTGAAAATTTAGGTTTACACTTCCAATTTCTCACCAAATTAAAAAAAATAGATTAAAGCCTCTAAGCAACAGTATGTATGAGCAACATTTACCGCAAATAAAAATTTCTTTGCCCGTATTGGGCTTATTGTCCTCTGTAATGCTTAAAATAAACAAAGAGTCATTAAATGTAGAACTATCTAATTTTGAATGAATTGTCTTGTGCAGCTGAAGTAGGAGACAATGGTGAAATGGCAGACTCGAAATCCCCCACCGCCAAACGACTAAAGTTATCTAATTCCACGGATGAAAAGGAGATCAAATCAGGTAATTGTCTTTTATTTAGCCTCTTTTTAATTATTTTGTATTATTATTGGAATATTTTAGCGGTTGAAAAGGACGTTCAAACTGCAAGCAGAGTTTCCAATTTTGGAAATATGTAATAATAAAAAATGTAAGAAAATGCTAGGGCTGAAATCTTTCAAAAACGAACGGGAAGAATACTCCACCCTGAGATGGAAGACAAGGAATAAGTTGTCTTTCTGTATGTGTTGAGTAGCCAGAGAGATCGGCTGAATCATAAATTTCTACTAAAGCAAGTAATTTCGTGGCTAATGAGATTTTGGCAGTGTGACACTATTGCCCATGCCTGTGTAACTTATCCTAGTAATGCATAGTTGTTATTGTTGTAAATTTTTTTGTTGTCCCTAAGTGAGTCTGTTTTATTCACAAGTTAATTAAAATACAGGGAACATAGGGATTTTGAGGAGAGAAAAAATTAAAGTCATTTTGATGGCCAAAGTCGGAAACCACATACCCCCATTGCTATGTTTCAAGATTTTCTCTCCTGTTTTATATTTTTGAAGAGAAAGTCAACTTTATACCTTAAAATTTGTACATAGTATTCTGCAACAAGAGAAAAATATCAAGAAAGTTATAAAAAATTAATGTCTGTTACTTTTTCCAAGAAAAAAAAGGGTATAACAGGAACTTGCAATGTTGAAAATAGAGGTACATTGTCTTGCACTATGGCCATCAATTCATAAACTAAACTTTGATTTCTTAGAATTTCCCATAAAAAACTTTGAATCTTTTCATCAAATCCACATAACATCCAGAAGCCTTGAACATAGCTTAGTAGCCGGGATTCCATATCCGGGCTAGATGCTTACGGCCAGGCAGCCGCTATCTGTCCCTGCCCCCCTCCCCCCTCAAGAAAAAACTAATCCAAAATATTCAATTTTGTAAGCATGCTGTGACTTCATGCTGTGATCAACAGATCATGTACTTTTTGTTTTAGAAGCTTGGCTAATTGATGAGGGTGACTATCTGTCTTAAAAAATACATTTTTGGTATCTTCTGTCATGAGATTTATAACTCTGATTCCAAATTGTTTCAGAGAGTGAAAATATGTGCGATTGTACTCTTCGCAAAATTCCTCAGTACCATTCTGCCGATTGTTTCGATAAATCTGTTTGTAAAATGCTGGAGACTGCTGGAATCTTGGAACCAGGAACTGCTGATGTAAGTCTCAAAATCGGAGTAGCCGGAAGTCGTATGGAGTTATTTTTCTGACTTTTAGAGCACAGGAGAAAATTTTCCATTTTCAGCTTTGAATTGAAATTGAAAGCAAGAATTAAGATGGCAGGTCCCCTGTCACATTCTGAAGGGAGCTTCATAGCTAGCACAAAAAAATATAGCACTGTCTTTCTGTAATGACACCTGTGATATCAAAAATTTCTTCATAACGAAGGAATTGTTAGGTCCCTCTAACTTCCTATGTTCATTGAGCGCCACTTAATGTAACAATAATATCTCTCTGACAAAAAATCGTTTGTTCCCTTGCTGATTTATTATAAAGAAAAAGTCAAGGTACAACTAACAATTTCAAGGGTCTTAATATTCTACTTCAATGAAAACCAATTGGCCCCTAGACAAGGTTTGAATTGGCACCACGCAACATCTTTTCTCTTAAAAATTTCTCAAAGAAAACTTATTCCAAAACAAGAAGTCTGGGAAGTCATTTTTTAAATTAAATTTCACGGTCATCAGACCCTCTAAAAATTTATCACTCGAGAATCAAATGTAACATTAAATTGTGAAAAATCCTTCTTTTGGCGCGTATACGTAGTATACCGCCTTTGCGATCGTTTCGAACCCTGCTCGATACAATAACCGAGTCCCTTAGTTCCTTACCGAAAAGTGACTACCGCGAACTTCTGAGATTTTCCAAAGCGTGTAAAAAGTTTATTTATCCATCAATAATTATGATTTAAAGTTGTTTCTCATTCTGGGGGTCTCTAGTTTATGTGCAGTGAATACCAAGAGTCTACGTTACTTGGTTTTTTTAAAAAAAGCCTAAGAATGCGACGCGCTGATTTAAAATATGCATATATAAGAAGAATCAAGCGAATTGATTCGAGGATGGCTGAGCAGGTCGGCACTCTCGGAATGAGAATTTAACTCCTCCGTTTTGTTCAAAACGTTGCTTTGACAGATCTGTAACCTCGGTTATACTTTTCAAAAGTTGGTACCCGTGCTCTGATAGTGCAATCTGTGTAAGTGCAATCTGTGATGAGCCTCGAGACTCATTAGACCATTAGTTAAACGTGGCTCATACAGGAATCCACTTACCCTTCTCTTCCCCACGCTCCTGCTCACTGCGTCGGCGTCTCGACGAACAATAGCTAATGACGGTCGCCAAGCGACGATCCTCAGCCCCTCGCCCAATTACTTACGCTTCATTAACCATTTCACCGTCACGCTAGGATTCGTCCAATTTTCAAAAAAAATAGTTTCGCGAGTTTTTAGCAATTTTTTCCTTCCTCTCCGTTAAAATTCGAATTAAAAGAGGTCTCATTCATAAAAATCGGCCAATTAGAAGAGAAGTTACAGTATTCGAAATCCGAAGAAATCAACAAAACTTCTCCAAACAAAAAATAAAATGAAGGGGGAAAAAAGAAATGTATAAATTACAATTTAATATGATTGACCTCAGAATGTGACAAGCAATTCAATTATAAAAAGGAGAAAAAATTGAGTGAAATTACAAAAAATTAGCCTCATGCACGGGGCTTCCTTGTATGAGTTTTGACCTGAAGACAAGTAAATCCCGTTATATTATTAAAACGAAATTGACTCCATAGTTTAATGCCTTAGTTTCTTGAATACAATTATTTTAAGCACTCGAAAATTTATACCAGCAATTTTACCCATGGGGTGATTTCCTAAGAGCTGATAATATCACGAATTTCTCATAGAGCCCTTCAAAAATGGCTTGCTTTTTGGGCAGCCGATTCGGCCATCAAACCGGAGTTTAAATGGAAGCTGATTACAACACAAAGCTCTGAGAAAAATTTTGAGATGAGTATAGGAACGGTTTGTAAATTACGAGGAGATGCGAGCATTCTGTTCAGCATATCGATACATAAGTATTTTCACATGTAGAATTTAATTTTCACGTCAGGGAGTCGACATATTTTGATTTTTTCGATTTTATACGGAAAATTTATGGTTTTTCGGGATTGAAATTACTAACAATTGTTTCATGAAAAATGAATGCACCCAAAATGACTATAGCATTTTGACTTTCACATACGTGCACTCACTAAATTGATTGGTAAATTCAAAGAGTGGGTACATCGACCTGGTATATCAAGTTTCTGCGATTTTTTACGGCAAATCGGTAGATTTTCGGGATGTGGATTGCTTACATTCAATTCATGAATGAATAAAGCATGGACATGGTTGAGCTTCTTTGCATGAAAAGGCGTTTAAAATAACAAAATCAAGACATATTTAATACAATTGCATTTATATCGAGTCAATTTCTTTTCAATAATATAACGGGATTTATAATACCGGTGATTTGGGTATTTTAGCCCCAAAATACCTTTAAATCGACTTTATCTTCTAGGAGTTCGACAGAATTTTTCCTTTCTTCGCTTAAATTTTTCCGTAGCACTTTTCTTCAAGAATCTGATAAGATTTTGCTTGAGGCAGATCAAAAAACTTAAATTTGTTCGAATAGCTTTCTAGATTCACAATACACGGTCTCGTCAAGGTGCGTCGTTGACCTTGCAGTGTTGGATCGTGAATTCTCTTGTTGTGCTGCTTGCCTTTTTTGAAATCTCTGTAAATGAAAACTAAAGGGTTTGATATGTGCGAGTTAATGACGCGCCTTATCAACACATTGTGTTGGAGTTCACTGCTTGTTCTCAAATACATACATAATCAATAGTTTGTATTATTGCAAAGGGTAAAGGTACTTTCTTTGGTCGGATTGTAAGTTTTCTTTTTATTTTTGATGTAGGATGAAGAGAATGATGAAATTCTGAAAGAAATAAAAAATGTCCAACAACAGTTGAAGAACATCTCAGCAGAGAATGAGAAACGGCTGCGAGAGTTGATAGAGACCGCCAAAAAGGAAATGACACGGCAGGAAATCCAAAAGTCTTTGGATGAACTCAACGATGAGGTATGTATCTCCTTTAATTCATTTTTTGCTGTGTTGCATTCATTTGCATGATGTCATGAACGCTTTTTTGGAGGGCAATATCTCTATTAAAATTAGATGTGGAAACTTGGTGTTTGAACGGATCTTATTATTTTGTTCTGATCTATAATCTACAATCATCAAACATGTTTGTGTAACTATCGCTTGTGACTTGACTCATTATGGAGATAAACACGGTGGTCTAAATTTTTGGCAGGCGAAAGTCTGGAGTCAGGAGGGGTATGCTGCAGCACCATCTTCTAGAAATGGCCACTCATTAGTATTTGAGAAATTGAGTATATGACAGTCTCAGTTTAAAATGAATAAACTTATTGTTAGAGCATAACCATGAATTTTTCACTGTCAGTCCTAGTTTTAAAAATGTAGTCCATTTTGTTGAGTTTGATTTAATTTCTTACCTTAATCTAGTCTAGACTCTTTTTAAGGGTGTTCAAACTTATTCTTGTCAGTAAGCTATCAGTACTACAAGTTCCAAAATACAGAAACACTCTATTAAGGCTGCTTCTATCGGAAATAAGAGACTCTCCTGGAATTGTGTGAGTTCTGAGTTGAAGGATAGTTGTTTGGTATATCTTTGTCTGTTGAGTTGCTTGGCCTGTATCACTGATGATGAAAAGAGCTCATTTTTGCCAGCTCTGAGAGCTTCAATAACCATTGGTAAGGATCTTCTTAAGGTTACCACTTTTTAACCGAACAATTTCCAGAAATTACCAAAAACTGAAAGGGCACCTCTGAGTGTGTTGGTTTTGTATGAAATTATTTACTCTCTTATTTTCAGATAATTGATGTTTACAAGAAAATCAATGGAATGAAACAACAAGGTGAAACTCCCAGCAAGAAAGATCGGGAAAAAGCATGGAAATTACTGACTGAAAGAGAAAAAATCATGAGTTCTCTGGCCTAAGTGGAGAACCACCTCTGACGAAAAGATCTGTTTCATATTTCTTGTAATTTTACGCAGATGGTTTATTCTTTTTGTAAATTTTAATTTGAATGAATGGTTTACTTTTTTTCCGAGATTTTTATTAGGGTGTCTCAATGCAAGTTATTGTTACATATGTTGATTGAAATTCAGTAGTCTTTTAATTTCAGATAATTGATAAACTTTTTAATGTATTATATGAGGTTTGACGAGTTGTATGTTTATATAAGAGTATTTTCTATTTTTGAATGTATCATAGGAGGTTGCTTTAAAGTTGTATGTTTGTACAAAGTAAAAAAAAAAAAAAATTAGATACATCAAGCAAGAAACTCTGTCTCTTTCGAATTCTATCAATCCAGTTTTTTTTTACAGAAGTAAGCATCTTCAGGTATAGAAATTCTTAAAATTGCAAGTCAAAAATTCGCCTGGTTTCTTCTTACAAGGAATTAAATGTGAGTGGCATTTTTGAAGTCTGGCAATCTTGATATGTTTTTCTTGACAATTTTCTTCCATGCTTGGAGGCAAAATCCTTTGTAAAAGTAACATACCGTGAAGAAGCTCAGGGGTGAATGACTGCTACATCAGCATTTAATTCATGACTCAATTCCATTTATGAAGGATAGGGATTCAACGAAGACAGTAAATTTTAATGAATGGACTGCTAGACAGGGTAAGAAAATAATCACTACAGCACAAGTGGTTTTAAACAAATTTCATGCAGAAAACGTTCAACAAATTGAAAACTCGCACAATTTTAAACATTAAAAAAATTAAACATTACTTGGCAACTTGGCAAGAAAAAAATTCAGATAAAGATGAGGATGCAAGATTTTACAACACCGTAATCAAGTTGGATCCTTTTCGTTTAATGTGATCCAAAAACTGCATGATATGAGGTATGCAGCATAAACCTAAAAGCTTAAATCGACAGTGCAAGTCCGCAACCACGTATTTTGTTGGTGGTGTTTAAAAATCACCGCTCCTATTTTATTTTATTTTTTTTTTCAAGGAGAACAAATCGACATTATTTCTTGAATTTTCTTCGCCCAGATAAAAACAATCACGGAGGTTTTCAAGAATTGACTTTGAGCAGTTTTTCATTTAAAAAATAAAGTGTGATGGGAAGTCTGCAACACCGCAAACCGAGATATGTGGTTGCGGACTAACACCGTCGAAAAGAAATACGTGATAAGGCTTCCCCCATTGCGGAGCTAAGAAAAAACGCCATATGAGCCTCTAGGCGTTGCAAAATTTCTCCTGGCAAATTTCTAATATCCAGGACAATTTTTGAATATTTGTCTCCCGATTTCTCAGATAATTTTGTTCGTAATTTGATCGAACACCATCGAAAATTTCAAGGAAAAATATTCATAATTTTCCTCATGAATAAACATTTTATTGAAGGAGATTTGGCAACTCTCGAATGTTCATACGGCGTTCTTCCTTAGCACGGCAGAATAAGCGTCCTAATAAAAATATCGCTGAAACTTAAGATTTGAGGAGTAGAGTTCCAAGGTGTTCGCTGGTAGATTTGGCAACAGGGGCAAATGGACAAATCTCATCCTGTTAGGTGTTGGTGCAGGTGTGTGTGATTGTGTGCGAGCGGGAAGCTTTCTCGTTCTTTCAGACAGACGCTAAAAATTGGCGGGAAGAAAATTCGAGAGACCGAATCAGGGGAGATGCGCGTCAGACAGAAGCGATAGTAGCGGGGTGGGGTGGGGGGGATCCCTGCCTCGAGCCATGCACCTGCGGCAGCCCGCTGGTCAGTTTGCCGAAAACGGAGTAACTGCAAGGGTCACGCGCCGCGAATCTATCACGTCCGGTCCGTGGTACATTGTTCTGTCTTAACTCGCTCTTCTTTTAACAATTTCGGTCATTAATTTCATTCAAGCAGTGCTCCTGTCTTACGATTGACGATTGTCTTAATATCAGTGCAAGTTTCTATCGTTTCTTCGAAGATTGTGTGAACCTTACGAGTTACGACCAATTTGCACTCGGCAAGGGTGAAGGATCAAAGAAGACCGCGAACGTATCCTTCCTGTCTCTCGTCTGATCGGTTGAAGTTATTCGTTCTCGCGTTGTGCAAGTGAACTTCTCGCTAACATTCGTTCAAAGTTTCCGTGGACCGATTCGAATTCAACGAGGACCTTTCTCGAAAATGGAGATACTCTAGATTCGGGAGTATCGAAAACGGCGTGGACATGGTTTTCCTGTCATCGGTTGGAGTGATTTCGTTTCGCACTACGTGGGTGGCCCTCTCTCGATTTTGTGTCGAATGTTCTCGTAGACTTTCTTTCGGATTCGACAATTTGTTGCCTTCCCATTCAAAAGAAAACCGCTAAGATCTAGGTTTCTCTTTCTTGCGATCCCTATATTGTGTTCGGCTGAGAGACGGAGAATTTGCCTGCTGGTGTTTCGTTCGAGTTGAACCGCGTGGACTTTTGAACCTCCGAGGTCTTCTGAGCCCTTGCTCAAAGGCCAGACATTTCTATTTGTCTCGCATTTTTATTCCGTCTTTTTCGGTACTCTCGTAATTCGTCAGATATGTGTGAACTTTTAGAGGTGATTTCGAGGAATTCAACGATTCCTTTCGATGGTCGCGGACAGTTTCGGTTCTCGCGTTTTCGGATCCGATTATACTTGTGTTTTCGCGTCGTGTGAATTGTGAAACCGTGATTCAGTGATAGTGCGTTTTGTGTGTTCCGTTTCTCATCTAGTGGGACGATTCTGGTGGTTCTTCTCGGGAATTGTGTCGATGATTTTTCTGGAATACTCTGCCCAATTAAGCTATCCTCCTCGGGTTGGTGAGGCTCTCCGGTCAGGTCTGATAACATAAATTATTTATTCTATTCTGATTTCAATTCTGTCACAACATGTTGCGTTTCTCTACACTGATTGCCTCTTTTATGGCTATGAGGTTTTGCACTCTAAGAGTGCGGTGTTGTACCTCAAAGAGGAAATGAACAGTTCGGCTTTAGTTGTCTAGAAATTTCAGTCACCTCTAGTTTCAGGTATTTGTCGAATATTGAGATCACCAAAATGTATCATATGTCTCCAAATTTTTCTCTCACTGGATAAGTACATTTTATCCAGGAGATACTCGGACTTGAGCTACGTCGTGCATTTACAGGTACACTTATGGATCTCACGGCTCATTTAAAAGTGAGTGGATGTTGTTCCTTTTGATCATGTTAATACGTCAAATTATCTACATGTTTTCAGTTATTATTTGCTGTCTTTTCATAGTTTTCTTTTCCAAAATTCCTCGAATGAGCAGGAGCTAGGTAGTTATTTCTAAATTTGAAGACTGCCGGTGAGTGTTAGGAGAGGGAGGTTTTGATTTTTCTTAAAATTTTATCCTACAGTTTTTACTCTATTTGTGTGTTCTGAATTGAAGTAAATCTTCACGAAAAATCCCCCAATGGTCCATCTCCCTCTCTCCTAGTAACTCTGTTGAAAATTTGTTTAACGAAGTAGGTATTCAATGCAGGTCATAGTGTGAGCTACAATGTTTTCATTATTTGTATCATATTTTCTCCTCAAGAGTTTCATGTTGTTTCTAAGTACCTTTCCTATTTTAGTTCGAATTTTTCAAGAGCATACTTACAAGTAGCGTTAAGTTGGAATGCAATTTTTGCTTCTCTCTGCCCATCACGCTCTGATTTATTATTTGAGAATTACAGCTACTCAACTGAACGACTAGTAATTTGAGATTTCGCCGAGATTATAAAACGTATCAATTTTTAAAATCTAGGAAGACACCCCCCCCCCCTCCCGGAGCCAGGGGTAAAAGCCAGAGGGACTTCTTGTTTTTATTTTTTTTCAACTATTTAGAGTGTCCTTTTTCCCTGGGAAGTGTCTGGACAAAATTGAAGAGAGAGACGAAGGATGGATATAAGAAAGAGAGAAGAAGAAGGACTGATCTAAAGAGGAGAAGGATAGATTTGAGAAAGAGAGAGGAAGAAAGATTGATGTAAGAATGAAGAGAGTAGAAGAATTGATGTAAGGATGAAGAGAGAAGAAGGATAGGTGTAAAGATGAGAACAGAAGAAGAAGGATAGATGTACCTAAAGAAGAGAGAGAGCGAACATCCACAGATCTGAGACTTATTTTTTTTAAAAACCACTTCAAGCTTCCTTTTACCCTGGGAAAGGTCCAACAGACAAAATTTTAGAGAGAAGTACTTAGGATCGATGTACGAAAGAGGAAAAGCGAACATCCATATATTTGAGACCGAACCGTTGGAACTTGATTGTATCGACATGTTGAAAATTTTCACTTGAACTAACTTCTTTAATCATGTGAAGGACGTGTGTCCGTGGTTTTTCCCCTTAAATTTTAGTCATATGATAGCAATTCACCACGAATTTTAAAATGAATTCAGCAACGTTGCTATGAGATAAAGTCCCTCTGGCTCTCGCCCCTTCGATACATATTGGCATTCCTATCCTTCAGTTTGCTACACGCCTTTTGCAGTATTCCCGCTCTAAGGAAAAACGTCTTATGAGAATTCGAATGTTGCCAAATTTCCTCTCAGTAAATATTTATTCTTGAGAAAAGTTGTGAATATTTTTCTATGAAATTTTCAGAGGCTTTAAGTTATCAAATTTGAATCGAAATCCTTTTCAAAACTGGAGGAAGACTATCGAAAATTTCCCGATATTTCGTGAGTTGTTAAAGGAAATTTGGCAATGACTGAAGGCTCATACGGTGTACTTCTTTAGCGCGTCAGAGTAGGTGCCAAATTTTCCTACTTGTCGCCTCGCAGTGGCTTTACATTGGGAAATAAACTTATTAGGAATTTTGTGCAACAATGAAGCCTAAGTTTAAATTTATCTGTCGATTCATTTTTCTTGAGGAAGGACCACCCGCCACAGAGTTGGGAAGAAATTATTCAGAAATTATTTGGTCAATTAGCAACGTCCGATCAATCGGCCGAAAACCGATTTATCTATCTCATCAGGTATAGAATTCTGAGAACCTAGCCTAGGGTCTAGTCAGATTTGCCGCGCAATTGCAGTCCGCCAGAGAAACGATACTCGAGGAGGTAGATAGTGAGAGAGTGACCGGGAGGGAGGGGGGCGCATTGACAGAGCTGTGAAGAAAACCGGGAAAATGAAGAGAGATAAGCGTACTTTGGGTGGCTACGTTCCGTCCCTTTCAGCAGGATGTTGTCTCGCCGGGCCACCAACAGACTCGCGCATGGCGACAGTCAGTCGCCAGCTTCAGCTTCTTCCACCGAAATTACTCCTGAATGATTTCGCAGAGCAGATTTTGATAGTAACCCTTCGTTGATTCCACTTTTTCCCCCACAGTCGTCTGAGCCTATGATCATTCAACGAACTCTCCCCCCTCCTTCCCCGCCCCGGGCCCGGGCCATGCCTCCTTTCCCGCGTAAAACGATTCCTCTTTGAGAGACGCGTGTTCGCCGCAGGTGTTTCGCTTTTCCTGGCATTTTGCAGTGATTTTCGACTGAATACTGTGTTTCCTTTTCTTTATTGCTTCCCTCTTTTTTTTTTATTCAGTTAGGAGCCGCTCAAGTATTACGCAGCAAGACATTTTGGCCGACTTTTTGATCTTCTCACCTCCTCCTTTTTGAACCACGCTAAATTGGCCAAGCCCCCCCCCCCCTTTAAATTTTTAGGAAGTAAAGGAGATAACCGGAAGATGACTATTTCATAGTTGAATGATATTGTTTTTTTTCCATTTGAGATGAGAGTTTTTAATAGAAAAATTTCTGACCAGCGAAAGGCTGTGATATTTTAATATTTTATTAATTTGGGATGAGAAGCTTGCGTAGGACTGGACTCGATAGCCCCCCCCCCCCCTCTTTGAAGTATGTAAGATTGACCATCCCCCCTCCCATTTCTTAGAAAGTAACGGAGAAAACCGAAAGAAAACCTGTGTTGAATAATATTGTTTTTTTTTCCATTTGAGATGAGATGAGAGTTTTGAACAGAAATTTTTTTGACTCAGTGAGTGCTGTAATATTTGATAATATTTTATTATATTTTATTAATTTGAGATGAGAAGCTTTCGTAAGACTGGCCAGCCCCCCCCTCCCTGCTCCGTAACGCCTGAAAGCGCAAGGATAGATCCTTCCCTTTTCCCACATATGTAAGGTGACTTGATGACCGCTAGATTTTGTGGCAGAACAACATGCGATATGTCCCATCCATTAGTTTCATGTTCTCAGTTATTTGTCATGTTTATCGAATTTTGAAATTGCGTTTCTGTTGTCACGAGACTAAAGACTTCACTTAAACATTTGACAAACAAATTCAACGTAATAAAGGTAGCTGTATGGAATGCGAGTTTTCTGCTCTCGAATTCGATATTTTTCCCTCCAATGAAACTGTGCCTTTATCACGCCAAATTGGTTTGTCTTTGGCGAGTGATCTCTCTAGTCTTGGGACAACAGCAATGCGTTCTCAAAATTCGATAAAAATGACAAGTGGCTGAATAGATGAGAACTAATCGATGCGATATATTGCATGTCGTTCTGACATAAAATATGGCGGTCATCGAATCACCTTATGTAGCGTACGCAATAATTGAGCGGCTCTTTATGGAGCATCTACTCCCGAAATGGTCCACATTTTGCAAGAAGGAACTACACTTTTTGGATTATTTCAGAATCAGCATATGTGTCACTGGTTCCCCTATGCACATAGGTGTTTTTACCTCTAAACCTGAACTATTAGTTCCTTATTGCCAAATGCAGTTCAAATCTGAATTTCAAGTGACATTCATCTTTGTAACTAATTGTTTTCAAGTTATAAAAACACAGCATCAATGATACAAAATACATCGGTGTGTGGTACAACAGATACTGAGTTAGGGTTTTAGGTATTTGCTTGTTCAAATGATTAGATTACTCATTTGACCCAGTCCAAAAATGTTTGCAAAATTTTTCAACATGAGAAAGTATCGGATGTTTCCTACTCAACGTAAGCAAAGCTAATTTTAATGATAAATCCCCTGACTGTCATTTAGAACGAGAACGACTCTCTAAAACATTTCCTCTCCTCCCTCTTCTTAACACTCACTTGGCAGACATTAGGGTTATTTTTGCAGCAAATTATGATAATCTTCTGAAAATCGTCTCTAACCATTCACACTTCTTACCTCGAGTAAGGTTAGGTTAGGTTAGGTTATGTTATGTTATGTTATGTTATGTTATGTTATCATCTCCTCTATCATCTCTATCCATACACTTCTTGCCTTCAGTTCCTTCATCATCTCTATCCATCAATACTTCAATGCCTTCAGCTCCTTCCTAACTTCTATCCATATATACCACTCGCCTTCAGCTCCTACATTATTTCTATCTTTGCATGCTTCTTGCTCTTCCTACTTCTCTTGCTTCCCTCTCATCTATAGGTAACAAGGTAAGTACCTTAGGTAAGTATATTTTGTTTATTTTCTTTAATTTAATATAATTTTTCCCTCCCATCTTTAGGTAAGAAGGTAAGTAACACTGCAGGTAAGTATATTTTGTTTACACTTTATTTGTTCTTTAATTTAGTTTAATATTGTTTTTCTCACGCAGGTGCGTCCACACAGTTCGCCCGATGTTCGGACGAGCGCTCCGCCGAGCAGTCCGCCGGACGCTCGGTCTCCGGACAGAGCGTCCGGGAGGTTGTTCGACGTATCGCTCATCCGACGGTCAGACGAACCGCGTGGTCTCACCGTTGACTTCAAGGCTCTCGTTACACGAGCATGTGTCCGATCGGACCCCTGTCCCAGTGGAGGTCATCAACGCTCACCGGTGCTCATCGGTGAGCGGTGGTGCGCTCCACTTGGACGGGGATCCCTTCGA